CTGTTTACACGTCAACAATGTTGCACTTCAAAGTTCAAACCCTGACTTACAAAAACAACAGCAATAACAAAACAAAGTGAAGTTTTAAAGTACTGCATGTATTGCAGGAAAAATCAGCACTGTGGGATCATTCTCATGTCTTTGTATAATTCTACATCTACATGTACATGTAGATATATAGTAGGCCTAAATGAAAGCCTACACAAATCTTCATTTACGTAGTTTCTAAATTGTCTTTTATATTTTGATTTAGAAGAACAACATTATTTGTTGGTGAACGGATTATTGGCACAATTTTAGCAAGGGGAAGGGACTGATGTCTCTTGTTTTTAGAATTTGCAAATGAGAAGACATTTTGACATTTCACATAATGAAAATATAGTGCACTCATCAAAATACATTATTTTAGTTATCAAACCTACAAATCAACCATCTCCCTGCAAAAATGTGAGGTGGCAATTGCCCAAATATTAGTAGTTTCAAGTTTGGGGCTCCAGCCCCCACCCCACCTAATATGCCTAGCCCTATGCATGCATTTACATAGACAATCAAAATATTCAAGTTACATGTATATGTTGAAGTCACAAGTACATTCTGAATGACAATTGGTAGCAAAACATACGTTTCTTGATTTTTAAAGCTAATTTCAATAAAAGTAAAGATAGCCTCTTCCTCTCCTAAAAATAACTTTTGAGGTTAAAATAATATGTCTGTCTAACCAAAGAGTTCAGTTTCTAAAATTTGAAACAGGCCTCAAACTTGGCGGGTGATATTTGATCCTGTGCCAATTAGCAGGGAATAAACTAGGATTACTAGATTGACACAAGGCAGAGTCTATTTAAAAGACTTTGTCTAATGATATACAAAAATAAGTTTAAGAATTACATGAATGTTTACCTGAATATGACAGCCACAGGTATTAAGGATTTTTTGTGAAGAGAAATAGTGTGGTTGATCACATAAAACATATTGTGTCTGGTAATAATTACACCTGTACCCTAGAAGAAAGTATTAAAATAAACTGATCTTATTTCCAAGTTTCTTAGATCCTATTACATGTATAAACATCAAATACATTTATGAAAATTATCCCAACAAACGGAAATGGATATAATCATCTTAATCCTTACTCACACTTTATCTATGAGTATTAATGAGTTGGTTAAATAAAAGGATTACAGTACATGGTTATCTCCACAGTGTGATTCATTATGGCTAATTATCACACAATGTTAGCTTTATCACTTTGCTTCCGAATACATGTACATGATCCAATCTTTAATGAACTTGAAAATTATTGAAGGTTTAGTCAGATCAATGCCATATGCAACCATACTCTTAGGCAATCATAAAGGACAAGCAGTTGAGGCTTACAGTATGGCTCAAAATCAATGGCAAGTTGTATATCCATTAGTAGAACAATGGAGGATGGGGTACAAATTTCCTAGATTTCCTAGGTGTAACATTATAATGGGGGGGGGGGGGGGGGGGGGTGAAAACTGTAACTTTTGAAGAAAGCCAGGCATCCAACAAATCAACGTTGCTTTGTCTTTCCCCATTTAGTTTCCTTCTCGCCAGACAGGTTTACAGATGATTTGCCCATTATTGTTTAACAGTTGAATTTTCAGTACCACTACATTTGCTGAAATACCATACTATCTTTGAAATTGATACCCACCTTCCTTCCTGTAAGCCCTCCCTGGATGTAAATCAACACCCCTATTATGACATCATCACTACATGTAACTAATAGCTAATCAAACATTACCTACATCATATCATAAAAAGATTCATCACTATTGTCATCAACTGTCCCAATTACCATGCCACCATGAAATATCAAACACCATCTCGAATGGAAGACATCATTATCTTGAACACCATAACATAGCTGATCATTTTCACCATTACATCACCACAGCACCATCACAAGCAATAACAACGACAGCCACAAAAAAGTTTAAAAGAACACCAAACACAGCAACGGAAAAAACATTTCCATCCAACAACATCGTAATGATAATTTCCACTGTTATCCAAATGTCATCATTTCACACCATCATCATAGGGCTACTGTAGGCCAGAAAGGTGTTTCACAAAGATCCTAAGTCGAACTTAACTCTAAGTTGGACTTAAATTTAATGAGGAGCCATTTGTAGCCTTAAAATAAAATATATTCAAATAAATTCAACTATATTAGACTTTTCATAAATTACACATCAAGAACATGAAATCTCCTTGATAATTCATAGAAAATATGAATGATTTAACATTTTGTGCCTTTAAAAATAAATTTAACAAAATATTTTCAAAGATGCTAACGGCTTTCCATAATTTTTAAGTCCAATTTAGAGATAAGTTCAACTTGGGATCTTTGTGAAACACCCCCAGGTAGACATCTTTGATACCAACCTTCCTCCCTGTGAGCCTTCCCTGGATGTTGACCTGCTTTCCCTCTGTGCCTCCATCAACAGTTTCTCCATGTTGGTACCGAACTGGACGCCCCCGTGTCTGCCGTTCCCGGACCCCGTGCTGTATGGGGTGCTGGACCCTCCGTTACCTCCTCCCCCTCCTCCGGATTCAAGGTTTAGGAAGGATTCATTGACGCCCCCGTGTTGGGCATATTGGAGTTCCACCCATGATTCTAGGAGGGAAAAAAGAACAAAGTAATAACATAAATAGTTATGGTCACTTTGATTAGGTATATTTTGTTGGCTGAAGTTATTTAATGAAAACGAAGCATAATTATGCAAAAGAAATATACAACAGGCAAGAACAGTGACTTTGGCCAAAAAATATAACACCCTGAAATGCTGTTTTAACTTCTATGCCAATGTAATTAATGCTCAAACTTGCCTTCAATTTTTAAATTGTATTAATTGCAGGTTCAATAATAAAAGTTCATATTATAGAGAAAAGACAAGCTACTACATTACTTAGTCACCAAATGACTTTAACTATCAATGCAAGATACATAACTTTCATAGTTTAAGTGTCAACTTTGAAGAAGAAAAAATACATGTACTGACACAATCACTCATAATAAATATGTATCATCACAGATAAATGCATATTATAGAAAATGTTAAAGGTAAAGACCAGTTATGGTCATGCGATTGCATTGTGAAAGAAACGTTGTGGAATCGATCAGAAAAGGTTGATCATCTAGCATCTAGCATCTGCAAGGTTCTAGAATCATCAAAATGATAAGAAATTTGGCCCATTCTTCGTAAAGTTACAAGCACTATACACAGAAAGATGTATATGGGACTACCCTATATCTCTCACAGACCATGAGAGAAACAAATTTACCAAATACAGTGTATATGAATTAATAGGGGGTTTCCCGGCAAATTTGTTATTATCATGTATTAGTCAAAACATATTCTTTCACATGATTGGTAATGAGAGCTTCCGTTTCATTTTTTAAAATTGGGGCGTTTCCAATACTGGTCTTTACCTTTAAATTTACAATTCAAGTATTCAACATGAACTTGTATGCCTGCATGCACTTATCAACAAATCAGCCTTGTGTTATCAGTACACAATGAACAATGACAGGAAATTTCCTGAAAACAAAAATAAAGGGTTGCATGGTCATATACATGGTCTACAGTCAAAACAATAAATTTGGTCTATCCAGAAAAGGAGTGGTGCTTATAAAGCTCAACCATCATGTTCATGATCCATCATCTCTAATTTCTTCCTCTTTTTCTTTTTACATTTGGACTTATGTTATCATCATCATTTACTACCAGACGGTTATTTCTGTGAAATTCTGTCTACTCTAGATCTAGCTCTAGTACTGACTTCACATGTACTAACTAGCAGTGTGTGGTTAAAGAAGCTTAAAATAAAAGGATATTATAAAATGGCTCTAGTATTTTAAGCATCGTGATTGGTCAATACGCGTCACATGACATTGAAAAAAATTTGATGCAAGCACGATTTTGCAGAAATGAGTGCAGAAAAAGCGCAGTAAAAAGTTATATTGCACGGTGCGTACGCGTGACCATGGAGATCCAGTGCGCGCGCGTACGTGTAGTACGCGCTCCCTCGAGTTGCATTGCAATTATTATAGGCTACGCGTAGCTAATATTGTACGCTCCACCATGATCCCCAGCGCAACGTACGCGTAGCTAGCTCTAGCTCTAGCTAGCTAGCTAGAGCGGCCAGCGCGCGGGGTATTATTAAAAAGCAAATTTTTATTTTACTTTTGCCTTGGATTTAGGCCTGTTTTGACTTTTGGATTTTATAATGAAGCCAGGAATTTCAGCTGTCTGATGTAGACTCGTCTCTAGACCCACTGTATGGATTTTATTTTTAATCAAGGCAATGAATCCCATTGACTTTTTGGTAAGCCTGCAACTGCAAGGTCTTAGTCTAATTAGAAGTAGAACCAACATAACTCTAGATCTAGATCTAGATCGAACTCTCGTAGACTCTAACTTATTAGATCTAAAGTTTCGTTTTTGCTATTTGTGTCGCTATTTTATAAAACAAATAACGCACTTGACCCTGTTGTGCAAAACGTAAATGCAGTAAACGCTCGGTTTCTTCAGATGGTTCGCACTGTCAACTCGCCGCAAGCGGCTCGTTGCACAGAGCGGCACCAATCTAAAAAAACCTCGCGCGTACTGCATTCACCGCTATTGCACTCTGGGACGTGCGTTATTTGTATACTAAATGACACACACTTTCTTGCTGGCAGATGCGAGGAACAAAGCAAAGCTACATCAACAATGAATTAATGCTATAGGGCCTACGGACTATTTGGCTTTAGCTCAGCTCAGTGAGCACACGGCGGCAATATGGCCTTTACAATGCTCGTAAAATAAACGGAGGCCATACAGTACACTGTACGACACCGGCCGCCGCCGGGTAGCGCAGACGCACATCAACAAATCAACTCGATTCAAGCAAGGAATACAATGTTACGAAATTCATGAAAAGTCACGACTGAATAATAAATGCTGGACGACCATACCATTAAGAGAATCATCTTTTTCACTCCTAGGTGTAGAAGTCATCTTGAAAACGTTGTTTCCCTCTGAAATATGTGCTATGTTTTGATCGGTTTCTGATCCCAGCTGCAAAACTCATACGATTATTGTTTACGTGTGACGTTTCGTGTTTTGCTTCCGTATTGTGACCGGGGAACCTGACCTATTAAGATCGAGGGTAAAATATTTTCATTTGATGTATAGAAAAATATATTATTAGGCCAAAACTAGTATATTTTTCTCCTAACAAACCTAAAAATTAATTATTTATTCAATAATAACATCACACGATTAAGTTTAATCACCGAATAGCTGGAAATGACATTCTCATATAGAAAAATGGGACTCATGTATTCCAAGTATTGGGTACCCCCCTCATAAAGGATTGTCAATACAATGACGCACATGCGCGCATGCAATGTAAAAGGTCGGAACAACCCCCCCCCCCCCCCCCTCCAACAACAATGCTGGTCACCATTATGTACCAATATTTGGCTCGCATGATTTCAATTTTTTTTTTTGGGGGGGGGGGGGGGGGGGAGGGGGGGGGGGATAGACATAAACAAAAATTTCGCATCACCCCCCCCCCCCTTCCTACATGCAGGCCCCGCTGTACGTTTTTCAAAGTGGGTGTGGGAGGCTCAAGTATTTACGATCAGGTAGCGTAAATTGGCATGGGGTCTAGGGGCGGAGCCACCGAAAGCTCAGGGGTATGGGCATATTACGGTCAAACGAGCATGATATTTTCCCCTTATTCATGACACTGGCATGTCACTAATTGCGTGGCGTCCAGAGGGCTGAGCCCCCGGAAGCTCAGGGATTTTAGGCATTAAATTACCGTCAGATGAGGTCCCCTGGTGGGGTCGAGAGGGCGAAGCCCCCGGAAGCTCAGGGGTTTTAGGCATTTAATTACGGTCAGATGAGCATATTTTGATACCTTATTTGTGACACTGGCAGGACATTAATTTGCGTGGGGTCCAGGGTCGGACCCCCTAGAAGCTCAGGGCTTTTAGGCATTTTATAACGGTCAGATAGGCATTCAGAGGCCCTCCTTAGGGCCCCTGGTATAGGGTTGAGGGGGCGGAGCCTCCGTAAGCTCAGGGTTTTAAGGCATTTAGTTACGGTCAGATGAACATAATTATTTTGATACCTTATTTTGTGACACATGGCACACTAATTGGCGTGAGGTCCAGGGGGCGGAGCCCCCAAAAGCTCAGGGGTTGTAGGCATTAAATTACTGTTAGATTAGCATCCAGGGTCCGCCTTAGGGCCCTAGGTGGGGTCCAGGGGGGGGGGGGGGGCAGAGCCACCGGAAGTTCAGGTGTTTTAGGCATTTAAATACGGTCAGATGAGCATATTTTGATGCTCGAGGCCCTCGAGCCCAGCCTTTTCGCGGGCCCTGAGATGTAGGCTTCTAAATAAGCATATTTCTTGCCTGACTGTATATTTAGGAATTTGTCATTTTCCAACAAACGCTTAAAAAGATTTACTCAAAAGTGAGGAAAAAGTGAGGAAAATTATGTTATTTCGGCAACATTATTCTGTAATCAGCGGTATTTAGCGGTATTTGGGGTGGAGAAAACTGTCCCCCCCCCCGATTTACACTTTGTTGGCGGGAAAAATCGCAACTGATCTCCTCTACCTTTCTAATATCTTTTTTCCCCTTTCCCTTTCTCTCCTCTTTCCCTTTCCCTTCACATCCTTCTCTCTCTCTTTTAGGTTTGCTGGGGGGATAGGGAAGGCTAGGGCCTTTCGCAACTGATATACCCCTTCTTTTCTTTTCTTCTTCCTGTTATTTTCCATCCCTTTATCTCCTCGTTTCCTGTTTTTTCCCTTTCTTTCCTTCTTTCTATTGATGGGGGAGGCAAGGCCTTTTCTGCCCCCCCCCGATCTCCTTCCCCCTTTTCTTTTCTTCTTCCTCTTCTTTCTTTCCCTTGCTCTCCTCTTTCCCTTTCCCTTATTTTCCTTCTCTCTCTTCTCTCTCTCTCCTTCTCTCTTTCTCTTTCTTTGTTGTTGTTGTTTTTATTTCCGAAATCAGATAAAAATATTATACATAGTAAAATATACAAAATGAAATATTTATACATGTACATGTACATAGACAAAAATCGGTGGAAAGCCCAATCCAGCAGAGTTCATAGAACACTACTGTTCTTCCTTGGGGCCCTTACGCTACAATATTAACATAAAAGCGACATAAAGCAGAATAGAAACAAAACATAAATACAAGTTACCAAAGTAACAAAATTCAAAAATAATATCATACGCACACACACACACACGGTTATGCAAAAATCATTTGAGTTTAATGAAGTGTGTTAAGAAAAATTATCAGTTATTAGGGTATATGGAAGGATGTTAATGTAGTTAAATTTCGGATGTATTCTGGTAGTAGGTTATATTGTATCGCCTCCCTATAATGTTCTTTTGCAATTATTTGAATTCGGTTTAGAGAGATCTAGATTTCGGGACGAGCGAAATTAGTAATTATACGTGCAATATTTGATATTATTTGACATATAAGACGGAGTGTAATTATTCAATATCGTAAAAATCATAGTATACAGTCATGCTTTTTGTAACGGCAGTCTAGAAAGTCCCAATTTAGAATATCATGAGCATGTTGATTGGATGTATGAGAATAAGGATTTACTTTCAATATCACACGCCCCGTTTTGAAGCTTTTGTAAAAGTGAAAGGGATGATTTAGTTGAGGGCAGGAGGGGGGCAATGCCCCCTCGCCCCCTGGATCCGCGCCTGATTGCATGTAATATGGACTATTAACTTTTACATGTATTTTCTGCTTTTGCTTTGAATTTATCATGTCTCGAATTAATTAGGCCTAATGTTTAATTTTTTCAGAACCTGCATGCATATTTACGTTTACATTTCGTATTTTACCTGTGTTTGTTTTATATTTATCATCATATTCTGACTCCTTGTAGCTATACGTACGAGGGCTAGATATCCCACCCAAAATGAAAACAAAAACAAATCTCCCATGGCTCAATGATATCAGAGTCCCGCCAAAATATTTGGATGGTAAGTCTGTAGATTATAGATATACATGAGTTTCATGCCTAGAATATAATGATTGGGGAGGATGGGGGTTAATCCCGGCCCCCACTCAGTGTTATTTAGGGTACGCATATGCGTGTTCCAACCGACCCCCCCTTTTCAGCAAAAGTCCGGTGTGTAAAGTCAATACGGCTCGACCTTTTTCTTTTGTATACGAGCCTTTTTCCGCACCCCCCCCCCCCCTTTTCAGCAAAAGTCCGGTGTGTAAAGTCAATACGGCTCGACCTTTTTCTTTTGTTACGAAAAGGACATTTTGGCAACACGCATGCGGTCATTTTGAAACCTGAGTGGGGGGGCCGGGGGGTTAATGGGGCCGAGCCCCACAATAAGTATTGGGGGCGGCTCAATGATATCTGAGCCCCACTTAAAATATTTGGGGGCAATGGTATTTGAACCCCACCAAAAAATTGGGGGGGGGGGGGGCTCAATGATATCTGAGCCCCCCAATTTTTGGGGGCGCCCCCGGTTCCTAAGCCTGTGTTAAAACACTCGGTTTACTCCATCAAATCACAACTCGAGAGTATGAAGAATACACCTATGAAACTACATGCGGCCTAGAATATATTTTGGGAATTCGACCCGCCCCCCTCCCGTATGTTGGCCTACATTTTGCAAATAAAAGCATATCAATTCCTTTCATAGCAAAAGCGCTCCTCACAATTTCTGTAAATTTGGCAGTTTAACGCTACGCGTAACGCCTTGACCGGACTGTGCGGTATCTGTGCAGTTCTGTGTGTAGAGAGGTCGGGCTGTATTCATTATTTCTTGGGGGTGCATAAATTGCTCTAATTATACGTACGCGTGTAATGCGCAAGTTTATTGTGACGGCACTAAACCCATCCCACTCATTGTTCCCCTATTTTCATAATGGTACTGACCCAATGAAATGTAGTGCATGCAGTGCGCTCGTACGCGCTGCGCTGCGTGTGTGTACATGTACTGTACTTATGCATGTTCAGTTATATGTGTATGCATTACGTACATGCATACAGGGCTAGCTGGCACAAAACCCTGGGTCGGGCTTCTAAAATGGGACATGAAGCATGATTTGACATGAAAATTGACGGAGCTAAAAATGAATCAATCAAAATGAAATTTATATGTATGAAAAGCTTACGTATCATATGTCATTGTCTGTGATTGAGGATTTACAAATTTGACGCAAAACGCGTTGCTGCAAAGTTAAAGATTGGTTTATTGAAAGGCAATCGAGCACAGTGCGACCGATCCATTGACATTGTGTATGAGAGAGTAATTTTTTAAAAATGGATTGTAAAGTTCAACGTCAAAGTGACGGAGGTTTTCTTTCAAGTAAGGGCATGGTTTTACATGGAATGTAAAGGAAATGTTTCCTTCTTCTCATATCTCGATTGAGGATATTATTCTCAATTTCGATTTTTAATGGTAAAGAAAAGTGTAAAAAGATGTCGAGAATTTTACCATATGTCATGTAATATAAAATGCGCGCGGGTCGGTTGATCTCCCAAAAGGAGCGCGAAGGAATTGATATGAAAAATCATAAATGAGATAACATAGTCACCAGGCATAAAACTCTTTACTTGCATTACAATCATGCCGTTGTCAAAATCTGCCGGACGGATTAGATTCAGATCTAATGGTCATCTCACTTTTTAATGAGCAATCTGTAATAAATATCAATGTCATGTCCATAATAGACTTGAAATTTTGCAAAATAATCATTTACAGGTGGCCATTCATTTTTGTTGTTAAGTTTACAACCAGAAGATAACATTCAGTGTAAATTGAGTAGCTGTTTATTTATTGCCCTGTGAATATTATATGCCAAGGTTCTATGGTCAATTACCCCTTGGGCAATCACCCCCGACCAATTATACCAAGCGGTACAATAATTACCCCCAAGGACGATTACCCCCCCCCCCCCCCCGAGGACAACCACCCCCAAGGAAATTACCCCCTGAAAAATTATCCTCTACAGGACAATTATTCCCCCCCCCCCCTGGACAATAACCCCCAGAGGACAATTACCCCCACCCCCTGAAAATGATCTCCCCCTAAAAATTACTTAACTTATTATCGGGGTAGCTGGTTGCCCGGGGGGGGGGGGGTGGGGGGTCATTGTCCTATATACCACGGTACAAAAAGTTGGGTGATGACCTCGGCACACAGTAACTGTTTAGCTGACCTCAGCTCAGCACACAGTTCCTTTCTTATCTTATCAGCTGTAGTGAGTGTGTATTGCTGCTGAAGGGACAGGGCTGCGGATCGCGACCGGGATCGGAGGATTGTGCCGCGCCGGCCCGCCCGCACTGCACCGGCACCGCAGATCGCATACCGGCGTAGCTTTTTGCTTGGGGATGAGGAGCAATCAAATTTAAGACATTAGCTCTTCGAAACAATTGCTTAAGAGTTCTTCAGGTCTAATTGACATCTTGACATATATTGTTGACTAATGCTGGAAACATGACGTCTAACGGGGTCATATCTCAGCGAGCCGAAAACATATTTTCGTTTGAATTCCCGTTAAAAAACTTGTTTGGGAAAATGGCGAGCAATCCATTTCATCCTGAAGATAACAAGAATGTGAGTATCTATTGTAGTATTGGCAAACTTATTGATGAACCTAGATATAGATCTATGCCTAAAGCTATAGCAAAGTAAAACAATTGGTTGATTAATGAGTGAACCAATCTTTAGGCATAGATCTAGGTCTAGATCTAGATCTAGAGTCTAGATCTATCATCTACTAGATTTCTTTTTCTTCTTCTTCTACTTCTAGGACTAGGTCTACGTCTAGACTAATTCTATAGACCCTACATGCAAATTTTAACCAATACCACATTATTTTTTATTCAACTCTTATAAAACGTCATAATAAATTGCGAGTCAAAATGGAAAGGCATGCCAATGGAAATTCACAGCGTTTAATTTAATTTACTTCTGTTTCTATTTTTTTCTTCTTTTTACTTTGTATGATTGCCCAACATAGTAAAAAACATTCAAGGAGGGATAAAAATTGATAATTTGCAAGGGGTGTACGTATTCCCTTTAAGTTGCAACAACAGAATGATGACGCTTTAGTATCTTAGGATCAAAATACATGATACATCCCTCCTATGTAAGTTTCAATAGCATTAATTTTGTAGTAAAATGACCTGGAGTCTAAGTTCTAACCTTCTCTTCTTTTGTTGCAGGGTATCATTAATCTGTCTACAGCGTACAATGAAGCAGTGAAAGACCTCATCACTGAAAAGGTAAAATAAAATCTTTGATTTAGAGTTTAATATATATGGTTCCTTGTGCGACCTTCACTTGAATGGCGAGAAAAAGTATGTCTGTATTCATTGCTATTCAGTATTCTTAGATTACGTAACCAAAAAAAGCAGCCCCCCCCCCCCCCAAAAAAAATATATAGAAAGGGGGTGGGGAGATAGGGAATCGTACAAGGAAAGAAATGTCCCTATTAAAAAGCCCCATATCACACCCTTCCCCTAATAGACCAGTTCACGGTTAGCACATCACTGCAATGACCCCGAATATCCACAGATCTTCAAAACATGAAGACGTCCCACTTTGTACATTTTGAAATAATCACTCCTACAGCGATATATAGATAACCTTTGTTTCCCCTTTTCAAAGAATACTTCCACCTGTGTATCATGGAGTTCATTGAATGTGCATGAATGAATAATGATCACATAACTTTCATGAGCACGCATCCAGTATAACGTCTCAGTGTATTTCAAAATTTGTTCTGCAATGACCTTTATCTGCTCATGCTCAGACTGCAACCGTGAACTGGCTTATTAGTTGACTTGTTAATAATTTGCATAATATTATAATCAAGTTAGTCAGTACTCCCCCCCCCCCCCCCCAGTAGTGACAGGTCCCCCTCAGTGACCAATGACAGGACCCATGCTACTCACCTAGATATGAAATTGATCTTGTTGTTGCAACTTATGCATAATATGTGGTCTCCTACATGTGCATACAAGAGTTTTGCTCCTTGGTAAATGTGATTAAAAAAGTGATTTCCAGCAATTTCCCCCCTCCCTTATTTTGCTGATCTTAGCAAGTCACTTAATATGTAATAAATCAGAACTACTTTAAAACAGTTTCTCTTGCAGTGCAATTCCATAATCGTAACTTAATAATCATAACATAATCATAACATAATCATAACCAAATCATAACCTAAACCATTTGTTCTTCTCGTTTGTCACTGTAGTTCAACCAGCAGGATTTACAGAAATGGGACTCGTCAATGCTTCCCTATCCCTTGCACTGTGGGGGTGCTCCTCGCCTTCGTAAAGCGATAGCAGACTTCCTGTCCAGTCAGACCAATGCTGCAGAACCTGTTGACCCAGAGAAGGTTTGTGTTTGTTATTTTTTTCATGTTTGGGGTTTATATTGTACAATTGCAAACAATAACCAGTTCGGGTAACATATATGGGGGGTGTTTCATAAAGTTTTTCCTGATGTTTTAACAAAGTGTGACTATATTTCCAGTAACCTCAATTAAATTATGGCAAAAAATATACATTGCATTAAAAATATTTGTTATAATAAGAATGTTAAACTTTAGTTGATGCAGTTAAAAAATGATTGAGCATCCCATTGGCTTTTTATATTTAAGTCATTCTTAAAGTCGTACGTAACTTTACGAACAGCTTTATGAAACACGCCCCTGGTCACACCAGCGATCCCTGTAAGGAGAGAGTCTCAAAAGGGCCGATCTTATTGTTTGCTGCTGCTCTGATGATGTTACGTATCACTAATCTAAACCCCTGAAAAGAAGTTTGGAAACTCAAGTATGACCAATTTTATCTCTCTTGTCGTGGCATAATCGCTATGTTTAGTAAAAGTAGAAGTATGTTTATTACTTCTTAAAATGCAACCCATTGGTTAATCTTTTAAAACTTTTACTTTACTTTACTTTTGATGTAATTGTGCTCTTATGAATTCATTATTTACACTTGTGTTGCGTTTTAGTCATACCCTTCTCTGTGTGGTATGCATTATTAAAGAACCGAGTGTTACGATGAATGTTATTATCAAAATGTTTACTTTATCTCTTCAGATGAGTATCATGTGTGGAGTAACACCTATACTGAACGTGATGGCATTTATACTGTGCAACCCTGAAGGTGAGTCGATCACCTAACCCAGGCTTCTAGCTCAGCAGAAAAGTAGTTACCCTTGGTCCACACCAAATAGCTTTGTGGCTTCCCAGGGACTGAGTCAAGAAGACATAAACAATTTTTGGGGTTTCGAATATCCATGTCCTAAAGTGGCTGAAGTATGGCTTTGGGAGGACAAGAACAACTTCATTTTTTTCAATTTTATTATCAAAGAATAGTGGATACCAACTCTATTGCTTCTTTCTTTAAAGGATTTTTTATTTTGGTTTATAGAAGAAAAACAAAACAGATTGAGATGATGGGGATGGTCGAAACAATTCAATTTTTATCTTTTGTTGCATGATAGCATCCCATTGTTGCTATGCTAGCATGAATATTTCTGTAGTATGTGCATTTAGGTTTTAGCCTTTTCAGCATTTCCCCAAACCTAGCCTCCAAAGTACCCCCCCCCCCCCAAAAAAAAAAAAAAAATGAATAAAAATAATAATAATTAACCCTGACCCCATGTAACACTGAGCAGTAGCCTAGCAACAGTGGAATGTCATCTTGAATATCGCCAAACATGAATATACATGTAATATTTCAATAATCATACATGTGTATAAATTTGTAAATTCAAACAATGTTTAATTATGACATGAAATATTATACATGAACCTTGTGATGCAGTTGATTCTTTATCATCCTGAGTTTAGTAATTTAATTGTTTTAAAATTTTTATCATTCTTGCCTTTGACACTTTTCAGATACTATTTTGACCCCATCTCCCATGTATGGGGGCATACCACGAGATGTCATGTACCAGGCTGGAGTGAAGACATATCCAGTGTATCTAAGCAGTAAGGTATGTTTTAGTACCCCCCCTTCCCCCTCCCCCTCCCCACCCTCCTCATACTTCATGCCCTTCTGCCTACATTATACATATATCACATGCTCCGGCATTCAATATAAAAAAGTATGTGAACCATCTAATTCAGAATTTCCTGGGTGATGTTATAATTCACAAAGGCTGTAGGACAACGTTGTATGTGATGGCATGAGGAGGATTCATACAGCACTGTGTCAAAGTCCTAGACCTCTAAATCTTGTAAAAAATATGTCATGTCGATCTTCTTCCTTCCCCCTTTTCCCTTTTCCTTCTTTTATCTGTTTTCCTTCTCCTTGTCGTTTCGTGGTTGTTTGTCTTTTTGTAATATTGTCTAGCGTTTTCCAAGTCTTCGTAGGCAAAATTTGAAACAATAATATTTTTTTCTGGGGGGGGGGGGGGAGGGGGGAGGGGGGAGGGGGGAGGGGGGGGGGTCCACAAACTACAAGCACTTCTTTTTAGTGGATCCCCCCATTTCCTCAGAAAATTAAGAATTTCTTGTAATAATGGTATTATGTGCAAAGTGTATTTGTATAGTTACCAGAAAAAATTATGTGTAATATCTTTGGTTATCTTTCTGTTGGAAATCAAATAAATATGAATGAATGAATACCGTATTTGATCATTTCAGTTTTATTCTCTTTCAAGGCAGAACCAGACGGCAGAGAACCATATGAGATGACTGTACCACTTCTTGAATCAGCTCTGGAAAAAGCTAAACAAGAGGTAGATAAACATACACATTATATCTTCAATAATCTGTAATGTTCACCATTGAACCATTAGGTCAAACTTAAATCAGAGCCCAGTTCATGAAACTCATTATCAATAACAAGCGTCACATTTGTTTAGTAAATTTGCTTTCAGCCAATCAGGTGTGACAATTTCATTAGCTTATAACAGGGATTTTAACATGTTTAATATTGATAACAATTTTTATGAAATGGCCCTGGAGTTTGTGAAGGCTTAAAAAAAAAACTAATACAGTGACACCTGTATATACATGTAAAGACAGCTCAAGGCAAAGGAGACAAAAAAAGTGGTCTTTACAGGCAGGTTTTTATTATTATTTATTAATTTTTTTTTTTTTTTTAGTTGCAATTTTTTTTCTTCATACTGTAGCCCTTGCTAGGAAAGGAGGAATTTAATGCTAGCTAGGTGTGTGCATTGGTGTCAAGAGAAAACACGTATCTAAATTGAGCTCAATTGATTTTCAATTGGAAATGTTTGAACAGTGTCTCTGTCTCTCTGATGCCAATTGATGTACAAACAAAATCAGAATTGTTTTTATGTTATCATAGTCATGTTGATGTGTTGCCAATTTGAGGTTCTCGTAAAGTGTTGATATTGTACATTATTCTTGATAGGGTCACAAAGTGAAAGCGCTTATCCTGGTCAACCCATACAATCCGCTGGGAACTGTGTACACCAGAGATCAAGTTATGGAATACCTCAAGTTTTGCCACAAGTATGTTCTTCGTTAAAATTCAATTAGAAAGTTATGATTTCATGTTTGAGATGAATGAAAGCATCATCAAGCGGTTGTGTAATTGTTCTTGTAGATTAAAAGGAATTGATGATTCTTTTTTTATTCTAACAATCGAATATGTTAGACTCAAATTGAAGGTATCAGCAAAACTGTTTCACTATAAATGTGCTTGTACATGAAAAAGAAATAGTAAATCTTCAATATTAAAAGTTTTTAGAATTTTTTCCTGTGTGCTAAAAACTTTGTTTTACGTAAACCACAAAACAAGTCTTGGTATGGATCTGGATTGAATGACTACTAATATATTTTTCTTGATCTGATTATATGGTTTAATGCCTAAATAAAATATTACAGGTATTTCAAAACACTGACTCTTTTAAAGAGATAATTCATTGATAGTTGATCTTACTCTTTTTACAGATAAGATAAACTTCTATTGCTGTTTCCCCTCCCTTCCATTAATTTTACAGGCATAATCTACATTGTGTTGTAGATGAGATTTACGGGTGCAGCATCTTTGATGACTCTGTCAAGAATTCCAGTATATTCACCTTTAATCCTGATGATCTACCAGACAAGAACAGGACACACGTCTTATGGGGAATGGCAAAGGTTGCTCATTCTTCCTTGAATTTCATTGTAAACTACAACAGTTGTTCATTAATTCACCAATTTTTATTCTTCTTCTGTATGTTAGAAGTTCAATGTTGCTATACTAATATGAGTTTCACATGTTACTTTTATGTAGAGATATTGCTGGTTTAAATACACTCTCAGTCAACACAAAAGCAGCTTGTGAGGAGATGTCTTGACACACCCATACACACTTGCATAGTATAGATTTAAATCCCAGGAATGGTTTCGGTAAAGGCTCCACATTTGCTGCATCAGATTTCTTAGGTTTTAGTTGATAAAGAGCAAGATATTACCTGGGAGTGTTTCACAAAGATCCTAAGTTGGACTTAACAATTATGGAAAGCCGCTAGCATCTATGAAAATATTTTGTAAAAGTTATTTTAAAAGGCATAAAATGTTGATTCAAATCATTCATATTTACTATTATCAACGAGATTGCATGTTCTTGATAAGAAATTTATAAAAAGTCTAAAATACTTTTTTGCTTCTGTATACATTTTATTTTAAGGCTACAAATGGCTCTCCGTAATTTTTAAGTCAAACTTAGAGATAAGTTTGACCTAGGATCTTTGTGAAGCACCCCCCAGGAATCATATATTCCTTGCAGTTACTGTGAAGTGTGGTTCCAGCAATTGAGGAGTTTTTAATATTGTGAGGGTGCACAGCTCACAGGGTTTACTATATTGTCAATAAAAGGGGGTGGGAGCGATCATATCATATTTTCATATTCCATTCCCCTTCATCCTTTCCTCTTCTCTCTGTTTCCTCGTCTTTAACAATTTGTCCCCCCCCCCCCCCCTCTGATATGCAACCAGTTTGACCTACTTAATGTGTATTGGATTATTAAAACATTAGGGCTGTATGTGGTACAAAGCTTCATTACCAAATATCCTTTGCACTTTTCTTGCAGGATTTTGGAATGCCAGGAAGTCCTGTAGGAGTAGCATATACCTGGAACCCAACAGTCTTGGCTGCCCTGAATGGTTTAGTGGATTTCTACCAAGTACCTCTTTTCATCCAGACAGCAGTGACAAAAATACTGGAAGACAAGGGTAAAGATGCTTCATTTCTCTTTATGGGAGAAGGGTTAGGAAAGAGGATGCAATCATTGGAGAGATTGTTTCCCTTGCTAAGTGGTCAAATAGGAGTAATTTCAAGATATTTTAACTGGCTCATAATTTCTAATGAGGCTGTCAGCTTAAGTTTGTTTGGTTTCATTTTCCTTGATCATTTATTGATCTCTTCCCTTGGATATCCCCTGGATAAGAATTCATTTGTTTAGTCCCCAGTTTTTGCTGTACAGTAATATACCTGCAATATGATACTTCCTTCCTTACTCTCTGTAAAGAAATGAATGTCAGACAAAGTATTGTTGGTACAATGTCCGTTCAATGCCATGCAAGATCATTTCACAAATTATCACAGCTGCCAACCATTCCTATTTTGGAGGAATGATTCCTAGTCGTTGGCCTTCAACCCAATGTTATGAACCCTAGATTCTTATGTCTAAAAAAAACCTCTTTGATTTAAAAAGTATACAAAATAGACAGTATTGCTAACTTATGCTATGAAAGCTAGGTGTGAAATATGTTTTAGCTTTTGAATATATTTTATCCTAGGGCTACAAATGGCTCTCCACAAGTTTTAAGTCCAGTTTAGAGATAAGTTCAACTTAGGATCTTTGTGAAACACCCCCCCCCCCCCCCTGCAATGACATTTGCTTCCTTACGTCCTGTCATGAAATGAATAGCAATCAAAGTATTTTTTTTTGTACAAACAATGTCCATCCACTGTCATGCAAGACTATTTTACAAATTATGTATGTTGTTCCTTGCTTGTTTGTAATTTCAGAGTGGCTGAAATCGTATTTACCAACTCACAACAGCATGTTAGTTGAATCTGCCAACATCATGAAAGAGACTCTGGATGACCTTGGTGTACCTTATGTGAAACCTAGGGCTGGCTTATTCATTTGGGCTGACTTCAGAAAGGTATATTCTTACTATTTTTGGTTTCCAAACAATTTTCACAACGTTTTTCTTTCTGTTCTCGAATCTCCTATGTGCACCATAAAAGAGAATAAATTTTCAATAAATTATCAATTTATTATCAATTAGAGCTGTTGAAAAAATGTGTCAGATTCACTAAACAAAAGCCTAATTGAGGCAGCTCTGCTCTCTTATTGAGATAACTTCAATACCGGTATATTCAACTTCAACAATGTAGTGTATCGGTAGTGACCCAGCCTCAAAGATTAACAATCTAAGAATACTCTGTGTAGATGGATGTAAAGTTAGAAGTATGCTTTGAAGATTATTTAGAACTCTCTGTTTAATATAATAATGTTAATATCATGTTTTTGTATTGCGCATCTCACATTATGCTATGACATCCCTATCACATTGCTATGCACTTTCAAACGGCATTAGATATTATTGCCCCTTTTTTAGCTCCAGCTGCCATTATCAGTTACTTCCTTCTTTATTCATACAGTTCATCCCCAACGCAACCAAAGAATCTGAGATGGCCTTCGCTCTACATTGCCAAGACAACGGTATATCCATTGCCCCAGGATCAGCGTTCTATTACGACGAGTTCGGCTGGGCTAGAATCATCCATGCCCTGCCGAAATCCACCCTCATAGAAGGTAATTATACGAATAATAATATAACTTCCAACCACACCTATTTGGGAGGAATAATTCCTATTTTTTTGCCTTAAAAATGAAGGTGAAGTTGAGTTCTGGTCATGCGATTGCATTGTGAAAGAAACGGTGTGGAATCGACCAGAAAAGGTTGATCATCTAGCATATAAGAATTTGTGTGTATTGCAAGGTTCTGGAATCATCAAAATGATAAGAAATTAGGCCAAGTCTTGGTAAAGTTACAAACACTGTACGCAGAAAGATATATATAGGACTACACGAACACGTGGCGTAAAAATCCTACCCTCGAGTTATACAATGTTTCATGATATATTTAGAATATGAAGGCATTTGAAGAGCCATGCTTTTCAGGGAACATGTCTTATCTGATGTTCTTCCACACTTGCATAATAAGAATGATAACGCTCACAAATTATTTTTCACCTCTTCCCAGAACTCAACCTTCTCTTTAAGCTATTGCTATAAACCTTATATTCCTCTTTTTTTAAAATGAAAAACACTGTATACATACATGTAAAGCACACTTCATTCCTGATGTTGTTTTCGGAGATTCCTATCGTTTGCATTGGAAGGTTGGCAGGTACCGGTAGGTAATCATGATTACATTTATATATCACCTTTTCCAAAGGAAACGAGACACTGTCTTGTGATGTATATTCAAACCATGTAAAGGGATAGATGTATGTTTTCAGATGTTTTTAGACGTGTTCAAGAAGTTGTTGTTGGTTGCTCGTTTAACCTTAGCATGCGTATGCTTATAAGTAATCAACCCGACTTATAGCCTTAAGTCCTCTCCAATGGACTTGGTAATGAGGATTAATGCCGTACCAGAGGGCACTAGCGCATTGACTTGGTTTTGAACCCTGACCTCCCGTTTACAAGATCGCTGCTCTACCACTGAGCCATTGCGCCTCCCCTAACTAAAGTGCTAATTCCTTGAAAGTAGGAAGATATTTGCAACAGCTTTGGGTAATGGACTGGAAAGATAGAGAGTGACTTCCATGATTATATGTATCACTTTCATTCGTTAATCATCACAGAGTAAACTGTGTACCATGTGAAGAAATTAAAGAATTTCATTTTGTTTCTGATATACATCAATAAAAGTTGTCCCGATGGAATTTTGATTCCATCACCATGATATATTTAACAGAAAATGCAGTTTGCATTTCATAAATATATCCACAACAGATACTGACAAACTGATTTTCTTTTTTTGGTCTTTTTTTTAGCCATGAAGAGACTCAAAGCAGCATGTGAATCATTCCAAGGTTAAAGATCAACCATGCAAATTGACGACTATCAGAGGAGTTCAGTGTTTTCCATTCATTGGCAATAACAAAGACGGGAGTATCAGAGTTGGCCAGCGCTGAGTAATTTTCTGTCACCACCTATTCAGGTACATGTCATGGAAGATTTCTGAATGTTGCATTTTATGTGTGCAGGGCCGTACAGAATCACTGACCAGGCTACTACCCTGTGTAAAAAAAAAAAATGATTATATGTTTACAACAGTGAAGAAGGAATTGGACTGAAACTCAGAAAACCTAGTCTTGTATTGTGCCATTTTTAGTTGAAATGTGTGTTTACATTCACACATGTTGTCTGATCAAGTCGAATTCAAGTTTTGCTCTCACCCAACACCTTTTTAACATGGTTTCGAATATTGCAGCAGGCAAAATTCGCTCAGGAATTATTTGAAATACATTTAAATCTATATATCAGGACCACTCATGGGAGGCAAAAAAAGGGCGGTCTTTATGAGCAGGTTGTCTTTTATGTGCAGGTTTTTTTAATAAGAAACTCTTCCCAAGGAAAACAAGAAATGTGGTCTTTCTATACAGGTGGTCACTAAAGCAGGATTGACTGTTTGAAGATTTTGTGTAAAGTGTTTTTGCTACTTGGAAAAGTACATTGTCTACAAGACAGAGCCTAGGGTTTTTACTCGAATGTGACTCGTTTTTGTGGTAATATATACCGGTACACTGTATTGTGTGATGCAGGGTCTGTCTGCCATTATTTCATATTTAACAGTGAAAAGCTTTTCCTCTCGGGAATCTATATAAATCCTTGCTTACATACGGGTCATAACCAAATGTGATGTGCTATTAGATCGATTTTTTTAAGACTTTAGCTTTTTTATTTTTGTTCTACTTTGAGTCCTTAAAACAAGTATGCATAAAAAACACTGACCTGTGGAAATTATCTTATAGGTTTTTCAATTTCGATATGTTACCAAAGAAATTGCGATAATGAGCAATCAATATCATATCATGTATGAATCTAATATTCTTTATGTATGTATCTCTGGCTATATAGCTTTCCATTTTGGTTTTTAAAAAATGTTGAAAATTATTTGACAGTGATATTGATAACAATGATAATATGACTATGTTGATGGCAACTTTATCTCCAAAAATACATGTACTAATGATAATTACCACATTGTTCATATACATGTCATAATACACCGTATTTCTAATGATAGCTGTAATGTATATCTTCTTGAAATCTCCTGAAATACTTCTTCTTTGCATGTTTCTTGTAGTTCCTTATATTACTACTGATATACAGTATTACATCTCTTTTTTCAGCTAAATTTCTCATTTGAATTTGTTTATTTTGTATGAATGACTTTTTATTTTTAAAAGTATGGGCTTTGAATTTATGAACCACTGAACCATGACATTTTGGATCAAATTTTCAAAATAAACATCCCAAGCTTAAGAAGTACTTTGGAGGTCATTAAATCATTTAATCAACAAGTTACAATAACTTTATAAAATACTGAAATCGTGGCATTGCTAAAGATTTTGAAATAACTATGAATACATATAAAATATATTCTTATATTAAATACAGCATATATTTGCATTTCATTTTACATGTATTGATAATTGAGATGTAATGAAAGTGTAGGTGTTATTGAGAATGAAAATTGTGATTTTAACAAGTGTGAGAAAGAAATATTTGAAGCTCCCCCTCTCATGTTACCCCTCCACCATCTCTCTCTCTCTCTCTCTCTGCCCCTCTTACTTTGCTGCTTTCTCTCTGCCCCTGTCCTCTCTCTGTCCCTTTCCCCCTCTTTCTTTTCTCTCATTCCTATCAGTTAAATCATCAGTATGATAACAAATTTCTTCATATGGGGGATACCCAATAAAATCAAGGTATTACTTCTGAAATATTTGTCCATGCCAGGTAACCCTTTACATGCAGGAACCATGTACACCCCATATTAATCATATGGGAAAGAGAGAATGCAGTAGTCTACAGGTTAATGTTAATTCTTGGGTCATGTGATAGAATTTCACCATTCCCAGTCGTCTTGTGTTTAACGTATAGGTCATAGCTCTAATTCAAGAAAACATTTTACTCCATGGAAATGAAGTGGAGTGGACTATCAAATTGTCACTAGTGAAAAGTTATCTTCAGTTAAAATTACCAAGCCCTATCAAGTACCAAATCTTTTCAGGCATATGTAATTTTTCTGCAATCTTTAAACAATCTGTTATTACTTTAATGCGGGTATTGGATCATAGCAAGCTTTCTCTAATTTTACAGTATTGGGGAAAATTTTTAAGAGGAATTTATTGGTAAAAATAAATGAAATAAAGACGTTTAGGCAATTTTACTCATTCAATCATAATCGTATATTTATATAATACTATGCATGTTCTTTAGGGCATACACAAGAAAAGAAAATGTATGTTTATGCAAAATTCTATTTCATGCTAAAATAATGTTACAGAGCAAAAGAAAGAATTACATGCTCCAGTGCATGTAATAAGATAAAACATAATTATTATACAAAATACATTTTAAAAAGTTACAATATCAGAAGTTTCACTAATTCTAAGCGAAGATACACTGAAACAAGGCAATTCATCTCTAACAGTAGTATTCCATGATTTAATTCAAATTAATAGGAGGACTATATCTACTAATGTCAACATGACAGAGAAATTCTTTCGGACCTGATTTACATTGACAATAAAAAAATAGTCAATTATTAAACATATCAAGAGAAAGAGGGGACATTCAAATTTAGTATGGCAAACAAAATTTTGTTAATGGTCTTGTCTTGTTGTTAACAGGTGCATTAATGTAAAGAAGTACCTGTATGTGCAAAAATGACAGATCTGGAGAAGAATATTCATGATTATATTCATGCACAAATTCTAAAATAGTCGAAAAATGTTGGGTTGGGCTTGCAATCCTGACCGAAGGATGCACAAGGTTTTGAGTCCTTCAGAAAGAACTATGGAAATCCATATCACATTTGATGACTGTGATTTATTTCTAGCTCAATATGATTGTGATCGCACAATGACACTAGTGTGCAGAAGATGGAAGCTCAAGCAAAGATGAAGACTTGAGGCAAACAGATACAATGTTTTTTCTTTGGATTTCAGTTGTCTCCTAGAGATGGTCCTCGGAAGGTCATCATCGTTTCTTCTTTGCTTTGAGTTTCTTCATAGCCACCTTGCTCCCTCCTTTACCCAGTGAGCTCCACTGACCAGCTGTCTTTTTCTTCATCCTGATGAAAGAAGAGAGTATCATCAAATGTAATCTTAAGTTTAGACCCAAGGAACAAAGTTCATAATTATTTCATTTTAGGGCTACCTTTAGACCCATCTCGACATGGCCTTTGTGTAAATTAAATTTGTATGTTATGAGACATCAACATTACATGCCGTTTATTAGTCCTGGGAACTCCTTTTCCATGAAGGGTAGGTAAATTCATTCTATTCGTCACCCTACGCCTTCTTTTTTGTCTTCAAGTTCCTAAGACAATTTTATCTTCAACTTTATTTTTCACATTCCATTAAAATCATAAATAACCACAAAACGTAGCAAAAACTGGCATAAAAGTAAAATTAAGTACATTAAAGAATAAGAACATTATAGTACATCATACTAAACAAAAAAGGATAAAGATGAAAATGTAAATGTGGAGGGGAACTGCATAGGCCATTTGCCTTTCCAGGTAGAACCCTTATATAACCAAAACCTATGAAAGTACAGTAAAATAACCTGGCAGTAACAAAACAACAATGAGCCAAGCAGACATAAAGGATGACCTAAGAGCAACAAACATCAAAGAAGAAGATGATAGTCATGACAGTAAGTACTGATAATATATGTGTTATGTTTTCTTTTACATGAATTTAATGATTCTTACCTTCTGTTTAACTGCTGTCTGTTGAGTGGAAGATAAGCATATGGATCCTGCCCTCCCTTCTTCTTCATGTCACCACCAGCTTTCTACAAATTTGAAGCAAAATAAATATTCAGAGAAAATGTTCAAATGAATAAAAGGCAATGACATAGAAGTATTTTGGCACTTGCAAATGCACATTTGATTAACACTCTTATGAAGGCTAAATATACTGGATCTATACTTGATCTGATTATAATTCTGACTAGTTTCATAATCATTTGGCTATCTATATGGCTTAGTTCTAAACAAAATTTAAGATAAGCAGTTGGTCCTAATGCACAATGTGACCATGATCTGTTCACAATATCTATAAGAGCAACTCTGAAAAACTTGAATTTGGTCATAGCCAATGTCGGTTGAATTTTAGACCATTGCTACATCCAGCAAATCCTCATTCTCCTGGTTACTTCACAGGCAGGATTTAAGTGATGGCTATGGCAAAAGCCCCACCACACTAGTTTGGCCAGGAGGGATTAGACCTCCCTACATTGTCACTGACACATGGTTATCTCATCAAATAAGCTCTCAATAAACATAAAAAGAGGATCATGGGGGACCAATGGTCACCGATTAGGCAGTGTTTGCTATATAGAGGGCGCAAGTAGCTATAAGTAGTGCAGTGGTGGGGCTTTAATTATTTGAATTCTTACCTTAGCTGCGAATTCCTGACCGGGTTTCATTGCTGGCTTCTGCTTCTTGGGAACCCCAAGAGGTCGATGGATACCACTGCCTCCAGCTGTGGGTTAATAATAAGGACTTTGTCTTAATTTCATGTCAGAGAAACCTATTGGTATAATGTGAGATCTCAGATTTCTATCAGAAGGATCTGTGGAGATCAATATTCAAAGGATGCTACACTCTAAATGAGAGTTACATTTTGTACCCCCCCCCCTTAAAAAAGAATAGTATCATGAATTAAAGGGAACCTTTAGGTCAGTCAGCAACCCCATGACTTCTACAAGCCTGTCTGATTATCAAGATATATATGATTTAAAATCGAAATCAAATTTTGCGTTGTCCTAACGGTTTTTAAAACACTACAGTCTATTGAGGAAAATCAGTATGGTAAAACAGGTCACTCAAAGGCTTTTACTTTTTTGAGGCACTTCATGATCATTTTCAAGCGCGATTTTGTGGGGCCATGCATCTCAGATTTAACATTGTTAAACAATGCCTTTAATGATGAGGAAACCACTGAACATATGATACTGACCCTTATACTTGTTAGCCATCTCATCTTCATCGTCTGATATACTGAGGTCTTCCAGCTTCCTCTTTGTTGTCTTGTGAAACTGAAAGAAAATATGAGAAAGTAATAACAATTAATGCAATTTTACTTTATTAATTTTACAATAACAGATGGTGAAGCTCAGGGCCCAATCTTATAAAGAGTTGATATTAATCGTAACTTATTTGCAATTGATATCAATCGCAACTATGTACATGAGAGATAAGGGACTGCAAACTTGCAATCGATAAGAGGACTTGCGATTGATTTAAAAGACGGGGCCCTGATCTATACAAAGTGACAGTATAATATTTGTTTTGACAGATGTTGTAGATCTTCAAAGGAGTCAGCAATTGCTCTCTAGAGACATGTACGAAATTGAATGGGGGAGTTGTCCGTCAAATTCACAGCTCTAATGCATTAATCAACGAGTAGAGTACATAGTCACCCACATACCATTGATATTCATAGATCAAAATTGTGTATTATATGAGCTTTTGTAGAATGCAAAAAAGACCGAATTACAATTTAAAGCTCCGGTATCTTAAATTCCTCTTCCTTGATTTCACATCAAACTTTCACTGACCTTGGCTAACTCATCATCCATCATGTCTTTCAGATCATCATCTCCTCCTCCTCCTCCTCCTCCTCTAGCCTTCCCTCCTTGATTCTTCTTCCCCTTCGCCTTCTCTTCCTCTTCTTCCATCTCAGCGATAAGAAGCCTACCGTCGGGGAGGGTCTTGAAGTTATGCTTGATGTGACCTATGGCCTGGGCTTCCTCTGATTCAGGCTTGGTGGCTGATAGGAGGGAAGGATTGAATGATTTAATCACAATGAATGAAGAAATGACATAACAAGTGAAGAATATCCCATCACGCAGGTCACCTCAACCCTAACCAAGACCATTTGGTCCAATCCTGACCCTGACCCGGAGCCTAACCTTCACCATGACCCAAAACTTCAACCCTAACCAATACCATACAGCTTTACCCTAACCCTAACTCTCGCCTTGAACCTACACTACACATAATATAAGCCAAAATGACTGATATATTAGGAGGAGTCTTAACGTTAAGTTTGATGTGACTGGCTGAGAGGGCTTCCTTAGCAAAGTAAGGTTTGATGGGCTAAAACAAGAAGGACTAAATGATTGAATATATAATCACAATAGAGAAATAACCAATGCAAGTATACCAATACTTGTTTATGGTCTAAGTCTAGATTTCATGATAAATACATGCAAACGAGAATATAAAGAGTAATTGTTGACATCTGGCCCAAGCAATATTTGCTCTGGCTATATTGGAATAGAAGAAGGGTATTTGTTTGAGTTGCAATGAGGTATAAGGGTAACTTAAGGGTCAAAGGTCAAACAAAGTATAAGAAACGATGTACGTTCTTTCCTTACCAAGCACTCTTCTTGATACACTGGGGTCCAAGAAGTCCAACGGAGTATCTTCCTTCTCCCCTTCCTTCAACCATGCCTTGCCTCGCTGACCTGCAAGCTTCTTGGCCTTGCGACCTTTGACCTTTGACTTGGTATCCTTGGCGTCCTCATCGTCCACCTCGTTCTCTGAGTCTGTTTCTTGGAGAATCTCCTCGATGCTGTAATATTAAAGAGATTGATTGATGGAGAAGTGTGTCACACCACTTTAACCTGTTGACCACTGAGTTCTCTTATTTCCACAGTGCTTAATACATCAACCACCAAATGCCTTTGGCAATGGACTAATGAACATTCTTCAAATATGAGTGGGTAGAGGCGCAAATTGAAGACATTTTACAACATACAAACAATTGTTACGTTTACAACATATATTTATAAGATTCTTTTTCATTTTTGTTGTCAAACAGACAGAGAACAATTAAAGGCATCGTTTAACAATGTTAAATCTGAAATGCATGGCCCTACGTGATATCAGTGTCTGTGATATGGTGTAATATTGGAGCCATAAAAAAATTGCACTTCAAAATGAGCAAGAAGTGCCTCAAAAAAGTAAAAATCTTTGATTGACCGGTTTTTACCATACTCATTTTCCCCAATAGACTGTAGTGTTATGAAAACCGTTTGGCAAAGGCAAAATTTGGTTTCAATTTCCAATCATAAATATCTTGATAATCAGACAGGCGATCGGCTTGTAAAAGTCATGGAGTTCCTGACTGACCTAAAGGTGTATAATTATCTTTGCAGCATGACCTAAATCCAGGATTTTGTTTCAGAATCTGAGATAAAGTTACTGGATCCCTTTAAATTTCATTCCACTATGATATGGTGAGATATCTATTAAATAATCCTGTCACAATGCAATGATTAACATTCTACTCAGTTATGTTTTTACATCAAATCTTATCTTTCTGAAGTGTGTGATCTATGGATTCCATGAGAAGTCAGACTCAATCAGCACATTAATTCTACTTTCTGATTCCCATTATCTTGCTGCAACATCCCTGTGTCACATTTGCTATGTAAATATGAAACTATTTATAGGATGATGATTTGAATAATTAAGTTCAAATTCGAGTGAAGTCAAACCTGCTTTAGTAACCACCTTTATAGAAAGACCAAATTTTCGTTTCCCTTGAAAATGGTTTCCTATTGAAGCATGTACTAAAGGAATCTGTACATGAATAAAGACCCCCTGTCTCCCATCGGGTGGTCTTTATGGACAGGTTTCACTGCATAAGAATAACTCTGTTTGAACTCTGACCTTTCTGGTTTGGGTTTCTGTGGTACCAGGGCATCGAACCCATCTTCGTCCTCGTCCTCGTCCCCTTCCTGATCTCCCTGCCTGGATGCGGCATTGAGAGCCTTGTGTCTCTTTGTTCTCTCCTGGGTCTTCTTGATGTTGTGCACCATCTTCTGTTGGCTTTCAGGGATCATCTTGCGAATCATCTCGTACCTGGATAAATTTTGAGAGGGGAAGACAGCAAATTCAAAATTTAAAGATTTTAAGAAAAAAACTGCGACCATCTTTTGATGATGTCTGTGATCATTATTGCGAATCATTTTGTATCTGGGTTTTTTTTCTTGTCCTCCTTGATATTAAAAAAACACTTTGAAGCGGTTCAGGGGTCATCTTATGAATCATCACGTATCTGGAATTTTTAAGAGTGGAAGGGTTAAAATAGTACAAATTCAAAATAGAAGTTTTTACCCGCTTCAGAACTTCCAGATGTTCTTATGAAACAAAAAAAGGTATCTTTGTGACAAATTCTTGGTGAAGAGGCATTCTGGCTATTGAACCACTGACATCTAACAAATTTTTCAATAGATTTCTTATCTTGACATATTATCAACCTCATAACTACTGACAACAATTGTGCTCTATTTCTTTAAAGCTGTTAGTTTTTAATTTAGGCTAGCATAAAAGGGAGAGCAAGAAATACTTTGCCCTTGCAACATTATCCTGCTTTTCACATTCATGAAACTTGATTTAGAAATTAACTCATAGACAATTCTGTTCATGAATCCTGTCCAGTCTATTCAAGTGAATCCTTTCAAGGACAGCTATCAATACAAACATGTAGAGAAGGGCCATGGTGGGATTCAAGAATTTCTGCCAAATTAATATTTTTCTATAGGTTTAATATATTGCGTGACATCACTGAGCTAATAATAATAATGGAATAAGTCTTATTGAGATTATAGCTTCTGAAATACGATGATCTTGTTTTCCTGCAAGAGAATTCTTAAGGACTTCTAGGAGCTTACCCAAACTTGCGGACGAGACGAGAATAGATTCCTTTGACAGGGACTCTCAGGTTCCTCCTATTAGCCTCCTTCAAACAAGCTATACAGTGAATCTAAATGTGATCAAACAGTGACTCATATCAATGACTGCAAGTTGGATACAAAATTGTCATTAAAAGAATATGTTATCAATCAGTTTTGCAATGCATTATTAACATAGAAAACCTGAAAAGGGATTTGGTACATAGAGCCAAATTGTCATTAGTAACATGCAGCTTGAAATACTGGGAACGGGAACGGGAACATAATTTGTGTGTAAAAGTTTCCAGACAAATAAACAGCGTGCTCTCAAGACATTGCCAAAGAAATTGAATCAAGGTGATGTAGGAGTAACATAGAAGAAAGATACACAGGCATGAAGACAAAGAGTTATCAATCCAGAAAGAGAGGTTGCAAAATTTGAGGGAGCAAGATATGAACAAGGCCCACCAAAATTGGAGAAGATGGAAAAAATGAAAAAATGTAAATCTGGCATTATGTGGTCTCATAAAAAATAAAAAAATATCAAGATTAAGCAAGATTTATTCAAACAGACAAAAGAGAACGAAAGACACGGACTCACCAGTTTTTCTACATGTGGGGCTAGGACAGCATCCGGGATGACGGTACATAGAACCTTGATGAGTCCCAAGGCTGATTTGAGCACCTCCCTACCCTTAGCCTGCATCAGCGTATCCACGGCATCTACCAACTGCTCCAATAGAGGGCCTCGCATGATGTCTAGTGGTAAGAGAGAAAGGAAAATTCTCAAATTCTGTCACTTGTATTAAATGTACAGCCAGAAACTGTTTCATGCTTGAAATGTTCCCCAAATTTGCATGTGAACACATGTTCATATTTTTGAAAGTTTCATATATCTGAATAACTACAGAAACATCACAGAATGTTAGCCATCTGCAAGTTTCTTGCTGAGAAAAAAGCCATCATTTACATGCCACAATAGTTTCTGTTGTGTAAGTCTCTTGTTTTACACTATTTATCTGTTAATTTTACATGATTATGAACTTCTTAAGAGAATGACAATTGCATAAAAATGGTAATTCTTGTTCAAGGAATAAATACACTAAAAATACAAATAATTGAAGTAATAAAAACGTTATTTTATAGATTATAAGACCAGCAGCAAAACAATAGTTTACCAATATTGACTGCTTTGAGAGGCACGATTTAAATTATTGTCCAAGGTGATATCAAAACTGCACTGTGCCCGAGAAAAAGTCAAAGAGTACAGTACAGTCTTAAAATCACTGAGTAGTTATTGTTTAAAAAAAAATAAGCAGTCAATATTTTTTGTATATACTCCATCCCCTGCGTTAATCCTTAAAAAAGGAGATATTTCAACCAAATAAGACTGTCAAAATGTATCTCTATACTAGTCTAGGAGCATGTATCCATTATTAACATCGTGTGTAATCATTGCGTTCTGGCATTGTATGCACAAGTAGAACCATCCTATACTGCCCAGCAGTCAACAGCGAATTTCATGCCTGAGGCGTAGAAATCTTCATACGTGGTACATTATATGAAATAGATAACATCCTGTTTGTCACACTGACCTTTGAACTCAAAGAGAATCCTTGTAAGAGCTAGGACGGTAGCGCTGACCATGTGGGGTGACCCTGCTAAACCAGCCGCTAACATCTCCAAGTACTTGCTTACACACACTAACAAATAAAACACATATTACAGATCATCAGAGAATATATAAGATACATCACTTCAGAGTCATTTTGATATATTTGTTGTGACAACTAAAGCTAATGAATTTAAGTTCAAGTTTCCCTTTCTGGATGAATGAGTGACTTCTCAAGGCAGATGAAAACCAAAGCCATAAAAAAAAACACCTGTCATTTTGCAAACTGAACAGCAAAGACTCCTTTACACATGATACAATTTACACGTTCTCAAAATGTTATTAATTTACAGTCTAAGCCTTGCTTTTTTAGCTTGAATGAAAATCAACCAAATTTACAGTGTTTGTGGATTAAATTCTTATGAATACAGTTCAGACAGAAATTTTTAATCCTGTATCTCCTTGATATGATGACACATTACACATATGTAACAAATCATGTTGTTTTAAAAGATGTCTATTAATTATGAATTTATCCTTATATACAATGTTAAAATCATTAAATTCTTGAAAATTAGCTAACAAAGGAATAATGATCATACTTACATTCTCTGGGTTGATCGGAGTGCTTGAGCATAGTGTTTCCAATCTCTACCAGGAGACCAAAGGCCGACGCTCTGGCTTTCTGGTTAATCTCCTTGATACACAAGATGATCTCTGGTAGTATGGCGACGATAAAAGCTTCATTCTCTCCTGGTAGACTCTTTACAATGTGATGCAAGCACCTAAGTCTAGGCTATAGTTTGGGAGGAAAGATAGAAAAGGATTTCAATGAACGACTGCATGACTAGAGTAATTAAATGATCTGTATTTATTTTCCTCTATAAATTAGAAGGAAATAAAGGGGTAGGGATCCATGTTTAATTATGCATTTAATCCTTTGCATTTTTATCAATCATAGTAATTTCAAGAGCAACAAAGCTGGAAACAGAGAGGAAGGTTCAGATCTTCTTAATCTTCTACAATTCAGTTGACCTAAAACCCTTCTTTGGAAATTTGAGAACTACTAATACAAAGGAAACAATATATAACTTGATGGGAACTGCATGATCCCATGTATTTTTAAACTTTTATTTGCTCACACATGATAGACAATTTACAGCCAATTTGAAATGTATGTTTCTTGCTCTCTGAGGAGCTGAGTTTTAAAGCCCATCTGTACTAGTGTAAAGGAGGGATTAGATCACACTGCAAGGTCACTGGACAGATGGTTATCTCATCAAATCCGATCTCAATTAACATAAGAAAAAGAGGATCATGGGGACCAATGGTCACCGATTATGCATTGTTTGCTATATAGAGGGCGCAAGTAGCTATAAGTAGTGCAGTGGGGCTTTAAGGGCATGTTGTACTTACTGCTTTGGATGATGGTGATGAGCTTGAGAGGGACTTGAGGAGAACAGCTTGAAGATCATCTAAGTTAGCTTGAAGGAAACCCTGTGAAGCTGTAGATTCTCCTTCACATAGCTCCTCCAGTACTCGATATGCTTTCTTCTGCATGGTACGGTCTGTGCTCTGTAGAATTCAAGATTTGGCATAGACTTTAAAGTGACTCTGTAATATTGCCTCAGATTCTGAAACAAAATCCTGGATTTAGCTCATGCTGTAATCATAATCATAAACCTTTAGGTTAGTCAGGAATCCCATGATTTCTACAAGCTGATCGTCTGTCTGATTATCAAGATATTTATGTTCGGAAATCGAAATTTCATTTTTTGTTTTCCTAACACTTTTTTATAACACTACAGTCTATTGGGGAAAATGGGTATGGTAAAACCGATAACTCAAAGAATTTTACTTTTTTGAGGCACTTGGGCTTCAATATTACACCATATCACAGACACTGATAACATGTGGGGCCATGCATCTCAGATTTAACATTGTTAAATGATGCATTTAATATGACACCGATTACTTACCTAGCTGTCTGATTGGTAAGGAAGTATACATGCACACACTGTAAATGCTTGTAATGAACAGCAGAGGACCTACAACTTCAAGTCCTATTCAAAGGACATAGTAATCCAAATAATTTACTAGAATAACATTTCTAACCTCTAACATAGGAGTGATCATCTTATAGAGCTTGGTCATGTGATCAGCATCAAGATGTGTTGCCATGGCAATGACGAGGTCCATGACAGCATGCTGACGTTCAGCTGTTTCTTGGTCCAGCTTCAGACAGGCCTTGTCCAACATAGCAGCAATCAGCTGAAAGGAACAAAACAGTGTAAAAATACTTGATTATGACAGGGTATAAATGTTACAAGATGTTACAGAATTAGGGTATAGACTGTAGATGTGTGCTGCATATTGCAGTTGAGGGCTCTGCAGTGAGCTGATATTCGACCAGTTTTGATCCAGTTTCTGACATGTTTTGTCTGCTTTGGTAGCAATCAGCTGAAAGTAAGAAAAAGTATTATAATACTTGATTATGTGAAGGGATGAATTCAGAAGGTGTAACTGAATTTAAGTATGCGATGAAGATGTGTGCTGTAGTTAGTAATTTCTGTAGTGAGCCGACATTCCGCTGTTCATTGGTCTGGCATGCCTTTTCAGTATCAATCGACCAAAAGACACTATGAATGTGACTGACAAAGAAAGCGGACAAAATATACAGTTCCTCAGGTAGACAAAGGAACATCCCTTCACTGCTATTATGTAAAAATGTGTAGAACAGGTGTCACATGCATATTCACCTTTTTACATAATAGCAGTGAAGGGATGTTCCTTTGTCTACCCGAAGAACTGTACATGTTGTCCGCTTTCTTTGTCTGTCATGTTCATAGTGAGAACAGTAACAATACTTGATTATGACAGGGTATAACTAACCTTCTCACAGAAAATAATTCAGAATATCTCAAGGCAAAGGAGAAATAAAGAGTACTTGCTATGCTTTTACACAAAAAGATACCAGTTGGTCTGACCAAGTAGACTCGAGAGAGATCCTAATATACAGGAGCCCTCTTCAATTTCCTTCACATTAAGCTGTAGCAGTCATATTGTAAAGCGACTGGCGGACACAAGAAAAGTAGAGAAGATTAAACATACCTTAGGGTCTGCAATCTGAAGATAGACCTTGATGGTCTCGAGGACTGAGAAGAGAGATGGATCTTGTCTTGCGTTTCCACTGGTGTACAGGTTGAACATGATGGGCAGGTAGTTCTTATCAAACCGGGCTAACTCTGCTCGGTTCACCTCTGCAGAAATAGAGCAATTCATACTAGAAGTTGTAGAACATCCTAAATGAAATCTTGAAATACACCCAGCACAGATCAGAATGACTCATTTGTCTTTTGACATGTACTAAAATTATGCCATCCATCTACTTGAATTAAAATTGTTTATGTATTTCATAATGAAAGAACAGGGATTTATATGATTCAAATTCTCATCCACTTCTTATCACCAATATTTTCATGACCTAGCTGTTACTCAAGGCTCCATTTCATTTCTCCTTGATCTCAGTATTGACATACTTTAATTGATTAGATAAATCTATGCGCTTTTACATAAAATTACCTGAATATCATTATCACTTTCTAAAGTTACACCGTAAAATATAGAGGTTCATATTTGATTCGTGAGTTGGTTGTAAAAATTAAGTTTAAGTGTTCAGTGTCATTTGACCTGTTAAACTGATGAGAATATTTTCCCTAAAAAACATGAACTGCAAGGCAATCTATCATAATTATCTTTAAAGCCCATCTGTACTAGTTTACAGGAAGGATTAGACCACCCTGCAAGGTCACTGGACAGGTGGTTATCTCATCAAATCAGTTCTCAGTTAATATAAGTAAAAGAGGATAATGGGGGACCAAAGGTCACTGATTAGGTATTGTTTGCTATATAGAGGGCGTAAGTAGCTATAAGTAGTACAGTGGGGCTTTAAAGTGTCTCACCATGCTCCAAGTTCTTTGTGATGAGGTTCCTGATGGCAGCACACACGTCCAGTCGTAAGTCCGGTCTCTCGTTGAGTGCTGTTCCCAAGATCTTGGCGGTGCCTTTGAAGGCTCCTGCACCTAGGTCTGTTGGGTTTTTGCAGAATCCAGGGAGCAGGGACCAGATCTGTGACTGGAGCACATCGTATGTCTTGCCTTCCACCTTCTTCCCCTGCTCAGTCAATTCCAGTGCTAGAAAAAAATGGAAATGGACAAATGTGGTCATTGTGTTGTTGTAAAGGTGCTGACATTGTCATGAATAGGACTATTTATTTCAATAAGAGGTGAGGAAAGAGGTGTTGTGGTCTAGTGGATAAGTCACCGGACTGCAGATCACAAAGTATGGGGTTCAAGTCCCGCCGCGGCACTAATGTCCTTTGGCAAGACGTTAATCTACATTTGCCACTCTCCACCCAGGTGTAAATGGGTACCTGATATGCTTGAGCGCTAGTTACTTTGGCAGCTAGGCTTTAACCAGGGTAATATGTGTGAAGCGCCATGAGCGTCAGAGCCTGGCGGTTACCGTTGCTATATAAATATCCATATTATAATTATTATTATTATAATGGATGCTTCAAGGCATAGTATGATGCCAATAAGTGATGAAGGTGCATATTCAGATAATTTCTTGATTTGGTTTGATGAGAAAATAAATTTTTAATGGAGTTGGAATTTGAGAATACTAACTTTACTTTGCTTAGCAGTCATTCTCCCATACCTTGTTTCTTTTTGTGTTATTTTATTGCATGCATGAGTTGAGGATACATTGTAATGACATCACTGCACTAATAGGATCATTATCATCAAATGTTCTCTCGTGAACAAATTCAAAGATTCTCTATTGCAAGAAGCTTTGTTAAAAGCAATGTAAAACAAATTAAGACAAACATCTAAGTCATGACTACTCTAAAGCATACAAAAAAATTTTGATACAAAGGAGATCTTACATCTTGTTCTGAGTTTCGCTGCTAGTGGTAGGAAATACTTGGTAAAGAAAGAGAGCTGTGTGTTTGCTACGTTGTCTCGTATCACAGGAATCAACCAGCTCCGGGGGAAATCATAGTTATCTCTGTTGTGGTACAGGAATGGAAAAAGAAAGAACTTGTTCAGAGTTTGTAATCACAATTAATTGAAAATTCAAAGTCAATTCATTCAGTACATTCATAAAATATACAAATCTAGGAATGCAATAGAATAAACTGCAAGATCCCAGAACATCCAAATCAAATTACATATCGTGCATCATAAAATTGACAAGTTAATAAATAATTAATAACGGGAAAAAGCAAAAAGAAAAGACATAAAGGCAAAAGTGCAGAGAGGGGGTACATGAGAGCAGAGAGAGTGAGAGAGTGAAAGAGAGAGAGAGAGTGAGAGAGTGAGAGAGTGAGAGAGTGAGAGAGTGAGAGAGTGAGAGAGTGAGAGAGAAGGGAGAGAAAGAGGGCAAGAGAGGGGGAGGGAGAGAAAGACTTCAAGTAGAAGTAAAACTGCCAAACTGCAGAAATACTTGTGATTAGCTTCCTTGATATCAATTATATTATAATCTTCTAAGTTTTATTTTCCTTTCCATTAAAAAATACTAAAGATTGAACTCATTTGGAAACAAAGATCTAAATAAATTGAATACCTTGGAACGCGCTTGAATCTACCCTGATATAAATCTTATTAAGCGGCAACTTTTGAAATTACTTACATCTTCAGTTCATAATGGCAATACACGATTAGATTCATCAATAATTGTACTGAGTTAGGCAGCACCACCTGTGCGCTTAGAAACACCTGTATAAAGCACCCTATAAATGTAATTATTATTATTGTTATTATGATCACTTACTCATCTCCTGTGATGTGCAGTGGAACAGCCTGGAGCACAAGTCTAGGCCCCATAGCCAAGATGGCTGCCCCAATGGCCTTGTCCAGCTCCTGCGTGTAAGCAAAGTGCTGTGACCCCCGAAGGTCACACATGGTCTGAAGACACTTGGACATGAAGCCGTGACCCTCGCCACCGAACGCCTGAAAGGTACACATATTTTTGTATCAAGCAGTCTGCTACTTTTTTATCTTTTATAAATCTTCACCAACACTTACATGTTTGTGTATGCATGTAGCTAATCACAATCGCTAATGTGGAAATATCTTAAAGATAAAGACCAGTTATGGTCATGCGATTGCATTGTGAAAGAACTGTTGTGGAATCGATCTGAAAAGATTGATCATCTAGCATTGGTGTGTACTGCAAGGTTCTGGAATCATCAAAATGATAAGAAATTTGGCCCAGTCTTCGTAAAGTTACAAGCACTGTACACAGAAAGATGTATATGGGACTACACACACGTGCGCGACACATGCGTTTATCTCTCACAGTCCAATAGATAAACTAATTTACCAAATATATCAATTAGTAGGCGGTTTCCCGGCAAATTTTTTATCATCATGTATTAGTCAAAACATATTCTTTCACATGATTGGTAATAAGAGCTTCCATTTCATTTAGTGAAATTGGGGCGTTTCCAATACTGGTCTTTACCTTTAATTAAGATTAACAATTGTAGCAAAATACAAGCAGTATACACAATCTTTATACAGTTATCAAATATAACACCAGTATAGGGTATTTCATTGATATGCCATCACAAAATGCCATCACAAAATATCAGAAAAAGAAGCTTACCTCAAAAAAGGCTGCCAAGACTTTCATGACAAGACCCCATGATGAGTGGAACTTGTAGGAGAGCCCGCCCTGTACGGACTGGAACATCTTCCTGATAGGAGCGTTGGCGCCCATCTGCTTGGCGATGTTTTCCTTGGCTGGTTTCACACATTCTAAGAGCAGTGTCTGGTCGAGACAAAGAAGGAAGACGAAATATATTGGATTGGTAATTTAGAAATAAGGTTTGAATTCAAATTATGAGTTACATGTGTTCGACTTTGTCCTGCTAGACTTTGTTCTGCAAGAGAAACTTTCGAAGAATATTGTAATGAATGTCTGCATCTCTTTAGTGATCGACTGGTATTGATTACGACTACATATTCATAAAAAGAATATCATTCCATTTCCATACCACAGCAAATGTAAGGAATCTCCAAAGCTAAAATTAGGAACAACGTGTATTTGACATGCTTACATGTATATGTGTTTTAAGAAAACAAGAGGAATACTAGTTAAGGGTTGATAATACGAACTGAAAGCAGAAAACAAGGAAATATTCCTCCAAATTGGCAGCTAATCATTTCAAATCACCAACAATATGTCATGCTACAAAAGGTTTTACATAATAATACAGAAGTATAAGTAATGAAGGATTTCTATAAATCTCTAAAGCAAACACAATGAGGAATTTGAGACACACCTTGAGTACCCCTGTAGCAGACACTGCTACTTCAGCCCTGTCGGACAGGAAACATGTCATGGCTGATGTAAAGAGACGAGGTAGATGACCAACACACATCTTCTGATCAAGTCTGTCAAGAAACGCATATTAAAGACCGTCAATACTACTGGGCCAGAAGGGATTAGACCACACAGCAAGGTCACTGACAGGTGGCCATCTCATTAACTCAGCTCTCAACTAACATAAGAAAAAGAGGATCATGGGGGACCAACAGGCACCGATTGGGGAAGTTTTCTATATAGAGGGAGCAAGTAGCTACAAGTAGGACAATGGGGCTTAAACAGAATTTGCATTTACATTGCTGCCGATGGAAACAAGGTGTGCCTTGTATTACAATGAAGGAAGAGGAGAATTTAAAAGTAAACAGGGCCTTGTTTCACGAGACCGTCATGAGTACAAGTTCACCTTCATCCTATTGAAACGTGTGTTAAATTTAATACACACGTTTCAATGAGTTGTGGGCAAACTTGTACTTATGATGGTTTCATGAAACACTACTCTGGTCAATAAGTTCAGATGGACGAGAAAATGAAGTTGACAACATAATTATATATAGAGATTTTGATCAAGTCAAAGCAAACTAAAAGAGACAAGAAGGATGGCATACCGAGTGTTTTTAAATCTCTGAATCAATACAATCAACTAGCATCACTTCTAACTTCTCAGAATTTTCACAAAAAATTGACAAACTAGGAAGAGATTTTTTTTAAAGGGTTGATATAATGCTCTTCATTTCTGTCCTTTCTTTTCAGCATATGAAATAAACTCAAAGAGAGTTTTCTGGAATATTGATTGTTTGAAGAAATCCAATTTCTAGTTAAGAAATTTGCCTATTTTGACAAAATTATCCACTACTCTAGACGCTGTTATTTTTTTCGCACTGAGTGTTCTTAAATTTGCTTTGCACGCAATTCAGCCCGTTCAAAACACACATAAGACTTCATGCTTATATTTTCAGGAGTTCTAAAATTTGCGATTGCCGATCTAAGCACGAACTCCGTGAATATTTCTACTTTTACAGTACTTGTCTGAAACATAATTTCAATGTTTTGACTTTTATGGTGTCCATGTAATAACATATGGTACAACTCAGTGTGACATACATACCTGAAGAGATTGAGATGAGCTTCTTGCATGACAGCCAGCCATGCCTGCATAGCTTGTGAATCACTCTCTCCAGGTTGATAGTCATAGAGGGCATTGATGAGTTGAGCATTGAGGTCTGATGGGAGACTAGCAGGGCTTGGCTGCATGGTGAACATGCCGTGGAGTGCTTTCATTGACACTGATGTCACAAGCTGGCAAATAACAAAATAACAACAAAAGAGGAAAGAAAACAATTATTAAAAACATTATTATCTGCAGAGCGCCAGAATGATGTAACTTTCATCCATTAACACACATTCATCATCCTTCTGTCATTCAATATAATCTACAAAGACACAACATTTTGAATTTGATCATACATCAATAATTCCAAAGTCTGTTAGAAGACTACCGGTAGTTAGATCAGGATGAATCATCTACTGAAGGTGAGGGTGGAGCAAAGGTTATTTCTCATACTGAATTATATTACCACTCACAACAACTCACAAGGATTTTAGGGTCTTAATCGCAGAAACATTACTCCATCTTATTTCAGTTTTGCAGAAATCACTCAGTCCTTGATCATGCTCCTGACAACTTCAACTCATGTGAAACTACATATGATACATGCTTTCCATCTGTATACACCGCGGAATCTTGAAGGAGATGTGAAAGGATCCTATTTGTTATGCAATCTTTTATTTACCATCAATGGTACAGTACAGTCTGCAACTAATACTCACCACGTTGCTGAGGGTCATGACCTTTAGTATGGTCTCACATGTCGTTTTGAGGTGGTTCTTGGGAAAGGTCACAAGATTGTCTTTGAGAAGGCTCAGAACATGACATGTTGTTCCTGCCTCTCCAGTACCTGCATCAAAAGAAATACAAACAATATCTTTGTCAGAAATGAACAGTCATAGATGAATTGAACGTATGGAATAGTGAATTTACAGGTACTGATTAACATTTTTGAATTGCAATTAAGGAAATTTAGTCCACAGTTTCAAATCCTTCACAATTACTAGAAGCCCCTTGGGTTATATATATTTTTTAAAATATCATACAGCTTTTAGAATACTGGGGAACTTCCAGTCTTTTCTCAAATCATTTGGATAGACCTTCATTTTTTCAATAATTAATTTATCATTTAAAATTTAAAATAAAAGAATGATGATTTATGTACCCTATGTTATGATGAAGGATTAGTTGTTGTTTTATATGTAAGTTACTGATATTCTAATCCATGAAATTTCAGTTAACAGTCTTTTGTTCACTTGACTACCATCTTCAGTCAACTTTGCCTACCAGCAGTGGAAAAATCCTTCCAAGCAAAATACTTCCAAATAATTTAAAGAACATCTCTAGCATAACTGACCTCCATGTTGCTCTATCTGCTGCACACAGAATTTTGAAGTCGTCCCAGCTGCTGGGTGATGGGAAGGCGGGTCAGGCAAGGTCATGAATTTACTTCCTTTCAAGATGGAGCACACAGCATGGTGGGCAGCTTTGCGTACCTGAAGTGGGATGCAAAAGTGAACTTAGAGCTCTTGCCATGATCCTAATTTTACATCTAAAATTTAAAAAAAATGAATGAACGCTTTCATTTAAATCATAGATGCTTTTTAACACCACACATGTACCAGTATTCGAATTAATTTGGTTCAGGAGGTAGCATCACACATTTCCCATAAGTAGACACTTAGTTGTTTCTTTACTCAAAGAGAATTTTTATTTTGTAATATTTAGAATAGAACCTGTACATAATAACTCCAGAAATGGTTCACAATAAAGCAAATCAGTGGTGATACAACAATTACAGGTCTGGATCAACAATGAAACATTCAAAACCAAAATACAATGTAAGAGCTACAACAATAAGGGTATGCTCGGCTTAACATTTTGATCTACTGTACGTTTGTTAAAATCGAAAAAGACTGTTAAAGACTTTGTGATATTCATCTGAAACATTTTCCGGTAGTACAAAAAGTCTACCCTCTACATTACAGGGGTGATGGTGAGCACTATAAAAAAAAGGGTATTTTTTTACCCTCAACCACCTCCCCCTTGAGTGACAAAAGAAAAAGATTCATGAATAATAAATGGCATCTAACAACATTCCCCGCCTTTGAGTAAGAAACCAACAACAACAACATCTGAAACATTTACTGGTGATACAAAATGTCTACCCTACATTATGAAAGCAGGAATTAACAACATTTCTCCCACCTACTTTTGGTTTTGAATGGACAGTATAATTGAGAATGCCATGATAGATCTGAAGCGTGGAGGAGTCGGACCACACGATCAGGTCCTGGACCCGCAGGATGGTACTCAGACAGGAGAGAGCCGAACGCACCACCGCCGTGGCAGCGGTCGGAGATGACGATTGCACAGCTAGGATCTTTAGAAGGGTCTGGCAGCATACCGAGAACTTCACTTTTAAGATGGATGCTGGCACCCTGGTAACAATAAATTTCAAACCAATTACAATAATGGTGGTGGTTATTTTACCTGACTGCTAAGAAAGCATAAATGCTTGTTAGTAAGCAACCAGAGGGCCGACGGCTTAAGGTCCACTCCGAGGGACCCGGTAATGAGGATTAATGCCCTACCAAAGGGCACTGGCCCATCGCCTTGGTTTCAAACACGGGCCGCCGGATTACAAGACCACTGCTCTACCGACTGAGCTATCGCGCCTCATCATGTAGGACATGTATGCAGCAATAATACGAGTAAAAGAGTAGCTGGAAGAGCAGTAGTTGAAGTGGTAGGTGTCGAGGTATAGATATTGGTTGTAATAGAAGCGGTAATAGTTAGCCGGTACTAATAAAAGTGGCGGTGTTAGCAGGATAGGATAAGAAGATATTTAATGCAGAAAAATTGCAAAAGTAGTTTTGATGGCAGAAATTGTACATAACATTGCAACCGCCCAAGGGAAACACAAAAAAATGGTCTTTGTAGACAGGTTCCTTTAGTACATGTTTCAATGAGAATTTTTCTTCAAGGGGAAACAAAAAATGTGGTATTTGTAGACAGGTGGTTGCTAAAGCAGGTTTGACTGTAGTAATAAAGTAGAAGTGCCAGAAATTGTAGTAGCAGGAGCAGTAGCAGAATTAGTATGAGTAGAAGAGATGAGAAGCATTACAGGTAAAGCCAAAGGATGGAGAAGAAAAAAAGCAAACTAAGAACAGAAATAAAGTTAGTTTGTTACACATACCTTTTGATGATGAGTGATAGCAGAAAAAGTACAGCTGATATAGCTTCTTCATCATCTACTGTGTCTAATGTGGTCATCTACAAAACAACAGAAACACAAATAAATTACTTTGATCATCAATTTTACTACAAAAAGAAAGAACATACTACTCATTTAATGGTAAACTCACATGTGCTCCTTACAATTGCATAGTGTTTACTTGTATCTTTTTGATTTTTGGGGGTACTTTTGTGAAAAGATTGTACAATTCAGCCCCCAGGCAGCAATGCATGTTTTTAAATGAATAAACTATTATTAGTATTATAAAATGAAAAGTACATGTCAAGATAAAATAGTATGACGTTTAAACTAACAAAAAAAAATTATGGCACATATTAAGAAAGGGGAGGTAGAAATTGAGAAAGTATGAGAAGCTTAGAGGAGAAAAAGGAAAGATGGAGAGCAGGGTATAAAGAACTACAGAACTGCATTACTCAGAAAATAATGTCTGCTGTGGATAAAGCCAGTTACAATAAGTAATTGCAAAAATATCATGTAACAAGTCCTTACCAATGCTGCAAAATATTCAGTCTCTGTCTCCTTTCCGCCTTTCTCTCTTATCACTTCAGTCACAGCAGCTAATACAGCACAAATCTGAATTGATGAATGTGAAGACAGTTACTTACATCTAGTGGTACTCTAAACACTCTAAATTGTTACAACATATTAAAGACCCTATCCAATGAAAATACAACTTTATATCAATGGAAAGCAGAATACAAATATAAAGGAAAACAAAAATATTTTCCCTTTCAGTATTGCACAAAAGCAAATCCAAACTTCATTTTCTGCAGCCCTCCAAATTATGGCCTAACAGGGGTCAAATTTTCTGCAGTTACAACATAACATATGGCCCCGACTGGCTTGCCTATTGAGATGTATTTTTAAGTCGACAACTTTTGATTTTCAAAGCTTTAGATTTTGAGTTTTCAGAGAGCTGTTACTACTCCTTTGACAGACACTAAAAAAGCATATAATCTTTGGCTTATAAGCTTTCTGTTTATATATAATTTATTTATTTAATTTTTCAAACAAGGTAAAGGTAAAGCCAAGTAAATGCAGCTATTTCAGTAGCTTATAACATTTACTATCAATCTCAATACAAGTAAAAAAATTTTTAAAAAAGGTTACCCTAATGACCAACAACTTTCCAGAAACTTCATACATGTAGCCATATGACAGGCATCTTTCTTCATTATGGCTGTCAAACATAAATTGCTTTGGAATAAGTGCTTTATATGGTGAACCTAACTAATGAATTACAACGAAAATTTGCATCACTTATTACAAAAATAGGCACATAAAAGAATCACTAAATTTATTTTAGACAATGGTTTATCAAACAGCAATATCTGCACAGCAGTACATACCTCTTTATGACTAGCTGAGTTGGACTCCCAATACCTCTTCACCCGGTCGAAAGCGGGTTGGGAACAGTCAGTGACCCCACTCAGGAACGTGCCATACGTCTCCCCACCCACGGAGACATCATCTGAGGCCACGCCCCCCATCATGACATCACTGTCCTTGTCTCCTTGTACCACATTGTGCTCATTGAGGGCCTTCTGTGTCAGTCCACTTTCTAGGAAAGTATTAATGAAGAAGTGAAATGGGTATTAAAGGTCGTCTGTACTAGTTTGTCTAGGAGGGATTAGATCAACCAGGGTGGTCATTGACAGGTGGCTATTTTATCAACTCAGCTCTCAATTAACATAAGAAAAAGAGGTTCATGGGGGACCAATGATCACCGATTTGGCATTGTTTTCTATATACACTGTAGAGGGAGCAAGTAGCTTCAAGTAGTACAGTGGGGCTTTAATGGAAGGAACAAAACAACAATCAATGTTGTAAAGAAATTTTGGCTTGCATCCAGTAGATAAAGATCACATGCTCGATCTTGTAATTGAAAACAAGTCAGAAAAAATATCTTAGAATTAGCAGGATTTTAACCGGCCATCTACTTCTTGCCAGGCAGCGACTCTACTGCTCCATGGCACGGTCACAATAAAAAGGAAGCAAATAACTCAGCTTTTCCGACTCATTCCGACTAATTAATATTCATCAGTCAAGATCGAGCATGCGATCTTTATCTACTGGGTCAAAGCCATCCATTTCCGTACAACAATTTAAACTTCTCCCAGGACCCAGGTAATTTTTCAAACACCATTACAGAAAACGGCCTTGTGAAAACATAGTTATATAATTTGGCATTAGTATGGGTAATCAAAATGACATTGAATGTAAGATCTATTATGATATTCTACCTAATAATATTTCTTGTCTCCTTTGGCGACTCAAATTTAGTGTTCCAGTTTCCCACCCTCCCCCCCCCCCCCCCTTTGGGTAAGAAAATTTGGAAAAAATAGGAGAAAAAGGGGTAAAATCAGAAGAAGAAAAAAAATTGTGTGATAATCAGGCCTGATGTTTGCACACCACCTGCTGTCTACCTGACTGGCCTGGAGCTTTCCTGAAGTTAGACGGTAGGAATCTGTTCTGTTTTGCTGCCTGTCTGTGTCCCTTCTTCTGTGGGTTGGTCACACAGCTCTGCCCCTTCCTCCATTTCTTCCCCTTCGCACCCTTGTTCTTGATCCGTCCAGGTCCTTTGGGCATCTTGGCATCTCCTTCTTTAGACACTGATGCACATAAATTGAGAGAGAAGGCTCAATTACTTTTAATGGTGGCTGTAGCTTCCATACCTATGGTTTCTTCTGTACGCAGGCTTAAACCTCTTTATTCAGTTCTAAATTCTGTCTTTGTATTAGTTTATGGTTATAGCGATTAGTGTAAAAAGGCTAGCGCAGGGATTTCGCTATATTCAGCAATCTCTGTGCATGTGCCTTAGTACACATCACTATTATCAAATAAGTATCAAATAAGCAAAACAAAACTGCCATTTTCATGTACAACATGTATTTGTGTTTCCGGCAGAACCAACATCATCACAAACTCTTGAGTCTTGTGAGAGGTCAGCATTTTTGTAATGTAAAATTTAGATCACATGTTAATTATAGCTCATTAATATCAGGAACGTGTGGAAGGTAACAGTTCTTAACTAGCGCCCAAATTGCTATCATTCCGGGATCAGATTTTCACATTTTATGTTAGATCCGAACCTCCAAATTCAAAATCAAAGGTAGTTTGGTACAATGCAATGGAATTGGAAGGTTTGCAATTGCTTTTGTCTGGTGCGATTACAAACATAGATCTATAATTTTGTTATGTTTTGCTTACATTATAAGGGGGTTCACTATGTACAGACAGGAAGGATTAGATCTCAGACAGGAATTGGGTTAAAACACCTTTAATAAGGCGACAACGGCCTTAGAAACAACAATCGGAATCTTACAGACAATCGTCCATTTTCTCCTCTCTCGATCCCTCTCCCGATCATATCGGTATCGGTATCGGTTATCACGATATCAATCCCTATACTCTCCCCCACCAAAAATACCCTATGGGGTTTTTTCAAATTATATTCAAACATTTCCAAACTGCTCATAAAACAAGCCAAATCTCGCCCGAGACATATACATGTGAAGCAACAATTTTGCAACCAAGCGCGCGTACAGACAAAACAGATGACCACCAGTTCTCTTAATTTGCTGTGATCGCTATCGACTCTTTCTATGTTGAGTTCAGGGTAAATCTATACACCCAGTTCGCTTGTCTGCGCAAGATACCATCAGTACTCAAAAAATGTACACTGTAAGAATAACGAACACCGCACCCCAAAGGATAGCTTTTCCCCCTTTAAAACAGAGATGCAAAATACATAATGCCAAAAAAACCAACAAGAAAAAACGTCCAATACAGATTATCGTCTGAACATGTTCAAACATATCCATGAATACCTTTTCAAAGAAAAATCAAAAGAAGTAACACAGCACCAGCACAGCTGAGTGCTCTTTTGTTTGATTTCTTTCTAAAAGAAATAACCCTTAGACAAATTTGTAATTTATCCCTACCTGCATGGCTAAAGTGTAGGATGAATGACAACTAAACATACTTCGTATCCTCTATTAATTTAAATCCGTTCAGCAGGTCCGGCAAAAACATTTAAATATATATAAAAATATATATATATATATATTGTTATACCCAATGTCAGGTCAGATATAGTGTTTACCAAAGTGTAGGACGTTAGCAAAACTAACATCTGTATATGTGTAAATTATAAACTACACTCAATTGGTAGTCCTTTTGTTTCGTTTATCTTTTGAAACACAAATTCTGTGTACATACTGTATAACAATTTCATGTGCACAAAAATTCAGTGTACATGTATAACTCTAAGTAAAAACACTAGATGCAAAGACAGAAAATTCGCAGGGAATCACAAGTTTATATACAGTTCCAATTTTCAACAATTTCCAACCGGTTGTATTTATCCTTTAACTGTAAAGATAAGGATCCGACATGTTAATATTATAATAGTCATCAACAATTCTGAAGAGTGCATAATTCTGCACGAGCCAGAATTAAAGCACATGGGCACGCACCAATATAAATGGTTGACATTAAACATATAAGTTGAAATAAGAGTCTGTTAGAATCTATATTAAGAGTCCAGATCAATTAAACTTAGCGTCCATTTAGTTTCGCGATCCATAGCCCAACTGTGACAGTCCCGCTCTCGACCAAACTGCAATCTTACTCGGCTATAGAGGTAAGTCAATGTAATCGTGAGTCGCGAACTTTCAACCAGTCCTGATCCAATATGCTACAATAAGCGACAATTTTAACAGCGTTGACAACATGCGAAGTCTATGTTCGAAGTAATTAGCACCCTTTCAATTGGTCCACATGAACAATGCGAGTTATCTTCTTGTTGGCAGCGTTCACCACAAGAAAATTCACTGGGGTTAGTTTTTTCTGCACAACAAACGGCCCAGTCCATCGTGGTGCTAGCTTAGCTGAGAAGTTCTTTTCCGCATTTGATAGAGGTTTAGTCTTCACCATGACTTGGCTTCCTTCAGTGATGCGGCACTCATCACGGCTCTGGTCGTAGTATTGTTTGGAGCTACTAACAGCGCGTCGACGATTGTGTGCGATTTCTTCTTGCGTAGGAATGTCTTTGTTTCCCTCAGTCTACAGGCGGTTAGTCAAGGGAGAAGCCAAGCGCCGTCCAAACATAACTACTGATGGTTCTACACCAAGTGTGTCATGACTACTGCTGTTCAGGGCAAACGCGAGTTCAGCGAGATGAACATCCCACTGTCGATGGTCAGATCCGGTGTAAGCTTGAAGCATGGCCTTGATGTTACGATTCACCCTTTCGACCCAGTTCGTTTGGGGGTGATATGGCGTGATGAAGATCTGCTCAATCCCCCAATCTGTGCAGACAGCTCGCAGAACCTTCCCTCTGAATTGGGGGCCATTGTCCGAGAGCAGGGCTCCTGGAGGTCCATATCTGCAGAACAGCTCCCTCACTAGAGTGGTTGCAACCGACTGGCTGGTAGCTGACTTCAAAGGCAGAATCTCCACAAACTTTGAGAAATGGTCGACAGCCACCAGAATATACTCATGCCCAGCATACGACTTTGGCAAAGGCCCCATGAGATCTACACCAACCTTTTCCCAAGGCCTCGTGGAGGTACTAGACAACATCTTCCCTTGACGTCTCTGGTAAGAAGGCTTTGTTTGAAGACAAACCTTACAACTGCGAATAAAGCTTCTTACATACTGCGACATACCACTCCACCAGAGACCCATCGACTTCAACCTTTGAAGTGTCTTCTTTCTCCCAAGATGCCCAGCTATTGGCTTGCAATGACACTCAACTAACACTGCATTCTGAAGTGCCTTGGGGATAACTACACATTCATTCTTATACAATACCATTCCCTTCAAACTGAAATCTGAAAACTTCTGAACAGGACCTTGATCCTCCCCACCACCATTCTTTTGCTTTTCAAGGATCTGAATGATTGGCAAAAGATCTGGGTCACTCTGTTGTGCCCTCAGGACAGAATCCTTTGTCAAATCCAAAGGAAGAACGACTTCATCCGTGGCCTCTGACTTGCCAACACAAGATGGGCAAGAGTATTTGTCCACCTCCTCCGCCTCTTGAGAACCAATATGGACACAAACCTGGTGATACCACTTATCACAATCATCACATTGTACCCAACTAACCGACTCATCATCCGGGGAAATGCAATCACTGGCTGCACATAAGTCCTTTTCATGTCCGTCACAGACTCGATCCGACAAAACCCTGTTTACAACTCCCACCAAAGGGGCAACACCTTTCTCAGGAATCCTAGATAGTGCGTCCGGGACATGATGTTGCTTTCCAGGCCTGTATATCACCTGAAACCGAAAATCCTGAAGCCTCAGAATCCAACGAGCAAGTCGCCCATTTTGCTTCTTCTTCCGAAATAACCAGCAAAGTGCCTGGTGGTCCGTTATTACACGACACTCTCTACCTTCCAGATATGGCCGCCATTTCTCTAGGGCCCATACTACAGCCAAACACTCCTTCTCAGTAGTACTATAATTCCTTTCTGCAGCAGACAAAGACCGACTCGCATAGGCGATAGTTCTCGTCCTAGACGGTTGCTGCTGGATCAGGACTGCACCGACCCCAACATTGCTGGCATCTGTGTGTACAGCAAACCTGGATTCTTCATCAGGGTAGCCTAGTATTGGCTCAGTGAGGAGGCTCTCCTTCAAGGCCTGAAAAGCACGAGTGCAGTCAGCAGTCCAATTCCAGGGAACACCTTTCTTCTTCAATCCATGAAGAGGTGCAGCAACCTCTGAGAAGCTAGGAATGAATTTCTGATACCATCCGGCCATCCCAAGGAACCTCTCTAATTCCTTGATCGACCTAGGTTGGGGATAGTTAACAATGGTAGACACCTTCTCGGGGTCCATCTTGAGTCCATTTGAGCTGACAACATGGCCAAGATATTTCATTTCTTGGCAGGCAAACTGACATTTCTCAGTATTTACGGTCAGACCCGCTTGTCGTAAGCAACAAAAGATCTCCTGGAGATCAGAGATGTGCTGCTCAATATCCGGAGAGAAACACACAATGTCGTCCAAGTAGACATAGCAATTTCGCCCTATCAGGCCATCAAGCACCTTGGACATCAACCGTTGGAAACTGGCAGGACCATTCACCACACCAAAAGGAAGGACCTTGAAGTGGAATAGACCCCTATGACAAACAAAGGCAGTCTTCTCCTCATCCTCATCTGCAACACCCATCTGCCAGTATCCACTGCGCAGATCTAATGACGAGAAAACCGAGGCACCATGCAGAGAGCTCAAAATGTCATCCACTGTAGGCATGGGGAAGGCATCAATCTTTGTAATTGTATTCAATTTTCGGTAATCGACACACATCCTGTACTTCCCGTTCTTCTTAGGGACCATCACTACAGGAGCGGCCCAAGGTGAATGGGTCATTCCATGTCAAATCACCCAAAAAATCTGAAAATCTTAACCCGACCATTTTTGATTTTGATGAAACTTGGTGAACTTGTTGAGTGTGATCTCACAGCACCAAATCCCAATTATTGCTCCTAAACAAAAAATATTATATCTCTGAAACTTTTATATGTTTTAGTGAACATGTCAGAGATTACATTTCATGAAAAATGTTGTCAAAGTTACGTGATCCACAAGG